TTGGGTACGGCAAGGCGTAGTGCTCTACTCATTGCTTTTGAATTTGTGCCTGGGTTTTTGTTTCGACCTAATACCTACATAGGTACATGCATGAGTATTGAGCACATTTATATGCGCCCTTCAAGGCTCAAGAGGTATATAGAGTAACCCTGTAGACAAGCACAGACCGGCAACAGGCTGAGTAAAAGAGTGCTGTCATTGGGGAAGACGCCTTAGCTGATCTTGAAGTAGACGCTAGGGCCCCTCTTCCCCCCCCCCCCACCCTTCGATTCCCCCCAGGTCCGCCTCTAAAGCCGGGTTTGCAACATAGGCGGACTACAAGGAAACGCCAACAGCCGCACATGCACTTTCATCCACCACGTTTACATACATCCCCACCCCAACCGAAGTCAAGACCCGCACTGAAACTCGACAATGTCAGATTGCTCAAGAACTTTGTTTCGTTCACCCTAACAACCGCGATGAACAATGTCGTAGCAAGAACGTTGCGACGGACTGCGTTGCAGTAGTCTCAAAAATCGTACATGATATACCAGTAGTACCGCACAAGGCGGTGGCGGAAGTTTCAAAAATAGGAAACCTATAGGAGAGGATGGCAGAGCGAAGCCACTGCTGGACTGAAAGGCGATTGATCTCTCTCACTCTTGTCTACCTGTCTATCTATCTATCATATCTATCTAACTATCTATCTATCTATCTATCCATCTATCCATCTATCCATCTATCCATCTATCCATCTATCCATCTATCCATCTATCCATCTATCCATCTATCCATCTATCCATCTATCCATCTATCCATCGATCCATCTATCCATCTATCCATCTATCCATCTATCCATCTATCCATCTATCCATCTATCCATCTATCCATCTATCCATCTATCCATCTATTTCTCCCTCTATCTATCTATCTATCGATCTATCGATCTATCGATCTATCGATCTATCGATCTATCGATCTATCGATCTATCCCTCTATCCCTCTATCCCTCTATCCCTCTATCCCTCTATCCCTCTATCTATCTATCTATCTAACTATCTATCTATCTATCTATCTATCCTATCTATCCTATCTATCCTATCTATCCTATCTATCCTATCTATCCTATCTATCCTATCTATCCTATCTATCCTATCTATCCTATCTATCCTATCTATCCTATCTATCCTTTCTATCCTATCTATCCTATCTATCCTATCTATCCTATCTATCCTATCTATCCTATCTATCCTATCTACCCTATCTACCCTATCTATCCTATCTATCCTATCTATCCTATCTATCCTATCTATCCTATCTATCCTATCTATCCTATCTATCCTGTCATATCCTATCTATCCTATCTATCCTATCTATCCTATCATATCCTATCTATCCTATCTATCGTATCTATCCTATCTATCCTATCTATCGTATCTATCCTATCTATCCTATCTATCCTATCTATCCTATCTATCCTATCTATCCTATCTATCCCATCTATCCCATCTATCCCATCTATCCTATCTATCCTATCTATCCTATCTATCCTATCTATCCTATCTATCCTATCTATCCTATCTATCCTATCTATCCTATCTATCATCTCTATCATCTCTATCATCTCTATCATATCTATCATATCTATCATATCTATCATATCTATCATATCGATCATATCATATCTATCATATCATATCTATCATATCATATCTATCTTATCATATCTATCTTATCTATCTTATCTATCTTATCTATCTTATCTATCTTATCTATCTATCTATCTATCTATCCATCTATCCATCTATCCATCTATCCATCTATCTCTATCTATCTATCAATCTATCATATCTATCTATCAATCTATCAATCTATCTATCAATCTATCTATCAATCTATCTATCAATCTATCTATCTATCTATCTATCTATCTATCTATCTATCTATCTATCTTATCTATCTGTCTAGCTGTCTACCTGTCTATCTTTTGTGCAGTGTCATTCAGTGTAATGCAGTGTAGTGTAATGTAGTGTAATGTAGTGGAGTGTAGTTGTAGTTGTAGGTGGTAGTGGAGTGTAGTGTAGAGTAGTGTCGTGAAGTGTAGCGGCAGGTAGTGTAGCGTAGTGTAATGTAGTGTAGTGTAGTGGAGTCTAGTGTAGTGTAATGTAGTGTAGTGTAAGGTAGTGTAGTGTAGTGGAGTGTAGTTGTGTAGTTTTAGTTGTAGTGTTGTGGAGTGTAGTGTATTGTAAGGTAGTGTAGTGTAGTTTAATGTTGTGTAGTGGAGTGTAGTGGAGTGTAGTTGGGTAGGTGTAGTTGTATTTGTAGTGTAGTGGAGTGTAGTGTAGTGTAATGTAGTGAAGTGTAGTGTAGAGAGTGTAGTGCAGTGTAATTTCGTGTAGTGGACTGTAGTGGACTGTAGTTGTGTAGTTGTAGTTGTAACCTGTAGTGTTGTGAAGTGTAGTGTAATGTAATGTAGTGTAATGTAGTGTAGTGCAGCAAAGTGTAGTGTCATGTAGTGTAGTCGAGTTAAGCGAAGCAACATCTGAACCGCCAAAAGTGGTCCGAAACCCTAGTGTTTTTAACATGTTAACTTCCAAATCTGCTTCGCGCCACAACGGCGTGCACTTTTTCGAAACTCGACATCTCAGCCTCCAAAAGTGGTCCGAACATGGTGTGGTTTGTACATTTTGACTTCGAAATGTGCTTCGCGCCACAGCGGCGTGCACTTTTTCGAAACTCGACCTCTGAGCCTCCAAAAGTGGTTCGAACCCCTGGTGTTTTGCACATTTTGACTTCGAAATGTGCTTCGTGCCACAACGGCGTGCACTTTTTCGAAACTCGACCTCTGAGCCTCCAAAAGTGGTCCGAACCCCTAGTGTTTTTAACATTTTGACTTGGAAATGTGCTTCGCGCCACAACGGCGTGCACTTTTTCGACATCTTAAGTGCCAAAAGTGGTCCGCACTTGGTGTGTTTTCTACATTTTGACTTGGACATGTGCTTCGCGCCACAACGGTGTGCACTTTTTCGACATCGCAACTTCCAAAAGTGGTCAGACCCTGGTGTGTTTTGTACATTTTGACTTGGGGTGCTTCGCGCCATGCACTTTTTCGACATTCGCCAAAAGTGGTCCACATTTTGACTTGGGGATGTGCGCGCCACAACGGCGTGCACTTTTTCGACATCTGAAGCGCCAAAAGTGGTCCGATCCTCTGGTGTTTTGCGCATTTTGACTTGGAAATGTGCTTCGCGCCACAACGGCGTGCAATTTTTCATGTCTCATCTCCCCATATGTCTCCGCACCCGCCGCTTTAGCGAGCCTACTTTTCGACCCTCCGGAACCACAAATCATTGGAAAAACACAGTGAATCGCGACTTTCCTACCTTTTCGCGCATCTGCATCTTCTTTCTTCTGACTCTTTCTCTTCTGAACTTTCTCTTCTCTCTGCCTCTGCCCTGCTCTGCTTTTCATCTGTCCATATTGTCGGAAGTTTAGCTTCTCAACTTCCTTCGACAATATAGTTAAAGATATGTATCTATATATATATACACATAATAATTCCATGATATATATTTATACTAAATAATCTCAATATACATATAGATTCGTATATATATATATATATGCATACTCTACCCAGCAATTGTGGGATATTGCGCTTTGGCTAGTGGTTGCCGAAGCATAATCGCTGCCCCTTGCTCAGCATATCTAGATCATTTGGTGGATTTTCCGCAAGGGTTCCTCCAAGATATTCTCTTCAACCAAAAGACTTCGCTAATGACATTTCAATATATTTCATATATATGTATATTCGTATATATATAGTTATCATGTATAATAACTAGAACACCTATAATGACTAGAATTACTATAATAACTAGAACATAATTATCACAACTATATTGAACCCCCCCCTTCGATTCCCCCAAGGTCCGCCTCTAAAGCCGCGTTTGCAAGAAGTCACCCCGCGGGCCCACTTTTCGCACCAAGATTCCAGCACCAGGATAGCCCTAAGTCAGTTGCTTTGGGTACATGCTGGGGTCAAAACACCACGTTTGTGAATCCCACACTGTTCTACACATGTGCACACCAGAATCAACCCCATCCGCGTTGCAACAATGTGCTGCCCCCAGTTACACGTTGCCTCGCAAACCCCATAACCTGATATTTATACATATATCTAACTATATGTATGTATTTATATATATATATGTCTGTGTGTCTGTGTGTGTGTGTCGTGTCCCCCCTCCCTGAAACCTACCTTTTTGGTACCCGCCCTCGAGTCCAAGCCCAGAAGACTTTTTTCGATATCCGCCCCAACTCCACCCACGTCCGTCCGCAGCGGATATGCCTCGTTCCCTTGCTCTCTTCTCCTGTTCCAACCCACGCCTACCTTTCGATCTTTCACCCTTCCCTCTCAAGTACACTTCGTGGAAACGGTTTTTTTTTGGCAACTTTCCTTTGACACGCTTTCCGGGCCCCTAGACGCTCACATTTAGCGTTGCCCGATACTTGCATAGTTACAATAGTTGCAGAGACATGCAAAGAAGTCTCGGGCCAAGAGCTGCCAAGGCAATGTTCCAAGTCAAGGTTTGGAAGGCTCAGGAGGTTCAAGTTCTGGCTCTGAGGAAGCATTCAGAAACCTTCAGCACAAACCCATGTATCCGATCATGTCCAAGTTCGCCTCTTCGGGGTTTGATTTTTTTGCCCATCTATTGTAGCAACAGTTCTGCAAGGTACCTGGGGGCCCCACCTAAAGGTTCAAAAGCGGCAGTCAGAAGAGTTTCAGACCAAATGTTCGCATGTTTTTGCATTTTCTGCCAAAATTGGATTCATCATACAACTAAGAAATTATAAAACAAACGCACTAATCTTTAGTGTTGAAACATGTTGCTCTTTTGCTCGCATGTGTGTTGGCATGGAAGCTTGGGAACTTGAGTTGTTGTGGTTCCGATTTCACGCATCGTTGGTCTTTGGTTCGGAACTCGCTTCAATGGATTGCATGCCTGAACGGGTGCATGTGGCAGGAGCTGGCAAGGTTGAAGGATGAGACGATAGGGTTGCTTCCGCAGCAGCTTGAGAAGCCAGCTGAATACGCAGAAAAATTAGTAACGAAAGATGCAGATTATTCCGTGCGAGGGGCTGTTGTGGCTTGACAATGTTATTTTTTCTTTCGCGGAGAAGTGCTTCCCAACCTTCATGAAATTTTAACTAATATGTAATCTCTTCCCAGTTGTTGCATGCAGTCAGCCATGTAGTTCAGCCAGCTCCAAGGAAGCTCACTGTGGAGTCCCCTCGGCGCGCTGATTGCCGTGGTGATGACTCCTGCGAATTGCGGGAGGCATTGGCACAGAGTCAAGGTCAACTCATGGATTTGCAGGTCCCGGGCTCTGGATGATGGTTAACCCAATCTGTAGAGAGGTAGGAAAGCAATTCTATTGAATGAAGGCAAGGAAATTGGCACTGGGAAAGAAAGAATTGAAAAATGGAGGACCCTGACAGACGAGACAGCTACTCTCTGTGTGCGACAGCTGTAACAATTCTGATTTCGTCGCCTGGCAGAGTAACAGGTGCACCCGGGCCACACTTGGAATGATAAGGGACCTGCACTGAGCCGATACGTTTCATGTAGGGATGCATAAAGGAGGGATGTAAGTTAAGGTGAATGGGATGTGCTGTTTGGGAGATTTCCTTTGGGAATCTCGGAAAATTTTGTCGATAGGAGGCTCTTCTAGCAGCTTGCCGGGAGACCAAGAGGGTGGTTGTTACTCCACACTTGGGGCAGCTCTTGGTGCAGGGCGGCTCTTGGTGTTGGGGCAGGGTGTCAAGTCCTTGGCTGCTTGAACATGATTATATAATTATAATATGATATTATATGAACCAAGTGTGCCGGCTAAGATCATGAAGTATGTCCAGGATTTAGCTTATCAAAGGCTTCGATCCACAAGGTGTTGGAATCTAAAGGATCCAAGCCAAAAAAGGCACTTTCGGCGCGCGCGCACGCACACACACACACACACACATTGGAATGATCCTTGATGATCCTTGATGATCCTTGATGATCCTTGATCATCCCTGATTGCAAATGGAGGTCCAGGAGGCTCACCTTCTGCCAGCCCCAAGTCAGTGGAGTTGCCGGAGAACCAGCTTCACTCAGAACTTTTTGGAATGAAGTGCCTCAGCTTGTGCAGGGAGTTGGAAACTCTGGTTTTGCATGTGGGCACAACAAGAGATGTAATTCATGGCAGGATGTCAGGTCAGAGTGGAAACGGTTGCAATTTGCAAGATGCCAGGTGGTCATTTTGTGTTTCGGAGCCTGTGTAGATAACACGGGTGCAGTTTGTTTTGAGATTACTAAGCTATGCATCCAGGCCGGGGTGCGCTCCCTGAAAAGTTGCATGGTACGTGCAGCATTTACAGAAAGTGCGTGCTTGTGTTCAAGGACTTAGTTTGGTAGATGTTGATGGGGCAGCAAAAGCAAGAATGTTGGTCCAGTTTCTCCCAAGAACCTCGTTGTGCTCGATGTCAAGGCAATCTTTGTCCAAGCAGGACGCTGTCATAGCTGACTTGCAAACTCAAATCACGGCTTTGCGAGCTCAGAGCAGGCGCGGATTTCATGTTCCATGCGCAATGGCGTGGAAGGATGCTACAGCTTTGCAGGATGAGGGACGTTTGGGTTGTTTCACCCTGTCAAGATGCTCGCTGCGCTGCCAGCCGCAAGCGTTTTGGTTGAGCGTCCTGTTGAGGTTGTGAGGTTCCTCAGGTATTTTGTGTGGGGCTAACCAACCAGCCGAAGGGTTCAATCTGTGGTAGTGTCGCGAACAGCATAGGCTTGACGCATGTTGCTTTTGACGACTGAGAGTTCCATGGACTATTTTTGAAGGGTTTCATGTCAGAAATAGGCTGCCAACAGCTCAGTTTTTTGTATCTTTGTGATGTTCCCCCAAAGAGTTGCTGAGCATGACGGGGCTCCGATCTTCTTCGATCTCCCCAGCAAATGCACTGGCCAGCTACCTGAACCAGCTGTCGGAGCTACGAGAACAACGTCGCCTTGAGACTCAGGAACAAAGACTGGCCTGGTTGCCAACATACAGGGCTATGCACCCCGTATGCTGGGCATTGCTGGGCATATTCTTCCCAGGCTGTAGGTTGCCATGTTACAAGGCTATGGACGCCATATGGTGATACGGTGCATATGATGCGCCCTGATGGGCATTTTGGAGCTTCCCAGGCTCCAGGTTGGCAAAATACATGATCATCATCATCATCGTCATGACAGTAAACATGCTATCCCGTCCAGATAATGTAAATAGAGCACTTCCGGGTTGATCCTTCAGATGCTCAATTGTGTTGCTCTGGCCCGAATTCCTTTTTTGTTTGCGAATTTGCTGCACAACTCGCAGGATGAAGTGTTACGCTTAAAGGGGGAGGCGCAGCGGCTGGGTGAAAGTGTGCAACTGCAACCAACCTTGGTGAAATGGCTTCCCAAACTCACAGAGTCCCAAGTCCAAGGGTCATTCAAGTCGGCATGAAGTCACGCAAACCATGCGGGCCATATGCCTTTGAGATCTTGCCTTGGGCAAAGAATATGCTCGGAAAAGGAAATATTTAATGATGAATCACCGCAAACGAACCCCCAAGAAGTTCCATTCATTTTGATCCAACACCCCTGTGCAGCTCGTAAGCATTGAGCGCCGGAACTTTGTCGGGTCGGAATTGGAGCGTGCTGCAGAGGAGGCGACACAGGAGGCGGAGACAGCGGATAGGGGTGAAGTGTTTCGAGCTTGTGTGCTCGGAAGTTCCCAAGAGCATCTGTATAGCTATATGCAGGGCACGGTATAATCCACAGATATTCACAGCATCCCAGGCTGAGCGTTTGGAACAAGAATTGCGGAAAAAGGACCAAAGTCTCAAGCAGCTGGTGTCTGGGCGTCATTGGCTTCGGGCGCCATGATTGGAGCCATGTTTCTGGCTTTGTTTGATTCCAGTCGTCCAATGGGCCAAATGTTTTGACTTTGATCTTTGATATTTTGCATCTTCAACTCGCAGAAGCTGACGTGTGATTACGGTTGAAATCCTCCCATGCCTTGAGGTTGAAATAAAGATGGGCATGGAATTGCACGGTGCAGAAGCACTAGATGTAGTGCAGTCGGAGGCGCAATATGATTTCCTGAATCACTTGCCCGCTGGCGCTCCGTAGCATCCCACCTGGTCTCCCGAAGACAAAGGGCCCTCGCGACCAACACAAAACTTCATTTTGTGATGCTTGACTTGTAGTAGAAGTCCTGGCAATTTGGCAGGTACCGGCTTTGCTTGAGCAGGCGTGCCAGTTCAGTGCAATTTGATTCCACTTGTTTGGGTTGGGCACAGCCGTGGTTCCGGCTTCCATTTGGGGTGTAGATGCTTTTGATAGCGAGGTGAACATGGAAAAAACAAAAGTCGGGGCCTTGCAGGTGGGAAGTCTTCAACAGCACCTTAAAGATCGAGGGGAGCTCTTGTCTTCCTTGGTCTCTTGTCTTCAACAGCTCCTCTCTTATGTGTATATACATATATATATGTGTGTGTGTATACGTATATTTATTAATTTTTAGATAAATAGATATAAAAACGATCAAACATGATTTCGATAAAACATTGATTTCCACTGGGCGGCTGGGAGTCAGGCCACGACCTCCAATCATGATGACCTGTCCCGATCGCACCAAGGCTTCTGCAATGGGATCCACAGAAAACTTGCAAGACTCTGATGCCCGCAATTTTTTAATGGCGAAGGCCTGGGTGATCCAAGCGTTCCCAGATTCTTCCCAGGTCAGCTAGCAGGGCCCTCGTCATGCTCCGTTTTGTCATGATTCAGTGCGCCTCCGTGGCCCTACCTTTCCCAACTTTACATCAAACCTCCATTGTGGAAACACCGGCCAGGTGCGTCAGATGAAGGCTCGTGCGGAGCAACTATTCAACTTAGCAGCTTGGCGGCAATTCGGCTGTTTCAAACCTCCTTGGGCACAAAACAAACATGTAGGCTATGCTTCCCATTGGTCTTCATTGTCAAGTCTTGTGGCAAGATGTGGCAAGGCAAGTGCCCTTGGATCTGCAGATTTGCACGAGTCTGAAGTGGTGGACTTTATACAGACGAAGGCGCCAGCCTTCAAACGTGCATGGTGGATATGTTGATTATGTTTGGTGCGTTTGCGATCACCAAGTGGAAAGTTACTTGGCTTGGCATGCCTAGGTGACTCAAGCTATATATTTCAAAAGAATGCGCTTGGCATGTCTTGGCATGTATTTTCCCCGCATTTATTTTCCCGTCTTCCAGTTGCTGGGATTCATCTCTGATTCTTGTTGCCTATTGCAGGTGCAAACTCTCCAAAAGCAGTTGAAAGCCCGAGACGGCCTACTGTCCGAAGTGGCTTTTGCTGTTGCTGCTCGGTGGAAGCAAATCGCAGTTCCTCCTTCATCTAACTGTGCATACACGGTGTGTCATGCACGATTTGTGAGTATCAACAGGAGTAGGGTTTCAGATCTCCCCTGTCTTGTTGAAAGGGGTGGAACTTCCAAGTGAGAGCATTTCTTGGTCACCTTTTTTTCGGAGCGGACTTGGAAGGGATAAAATAAGGAGGGCCATTTATTTAGGGATTATTTTTTTTAGTTTAGGGATTTTTTTTTGGATTTCTTCCTGCTTACTCTATTGCCTCCTGCAGTGCTTCTCTGCTTCTTTGCTTCTATTCCTTTTTTTGCTTTTCTTGCTTTTCTTTGCTTTTTTGCTTTTTTGCTTCCCTTGCTTTTCTTTGCTTTTTTGCTTTTCTCGCTTTTCTGCTTTTCTTTGCTTTTCTTGCTTTTCTTTGCTTTTTTGCTTTTTTGCTTTCCTTGCTTTTTTTTGCTTTTTTGCTTTTCTCGCTTTTCTGCTTTTCTTTGCTTTTTTGCTTTTCTTGCTTTTCTTTGCTTTTTTGCTTTTTTGCTTTTCTTTGCTTTTTTGCTTTTCCATGAGGTGTGGAGCAACATCTTCTATCCATCTATATCCATCTATATCCATCTATATCCATCTATATCTATCTATATCTATCTATATCTACGTATCTATATCTATCTATGTCTATCTATATCTGTATCTATATCTACATCTATGGCTGTATCTATATATCTATATATCTATATATATCATATATCTATATAATTATCTATATATCTATATCTCTATATCTCTATATATATATATATCTATATATATATATATCTATATATATATATCTATATATATATATATCTATCTATATATATATATATCTCTATATATCTCTATATATATCTATATATATATATCTATTTATTTCTATATATCTCTATATATATCTATATATATATATATATCTATTTATTTCTATATATCTCTATATATATCTATATCTAGATATCTATATACATATATATCTATCTATCTATATATCTATCTACCTATCTATCTATCTATCTATCTATCTAATTATCTATCTATCTATCTATCTATCTATATCTACATCTATGGCTGTATCTATATATCTATATATCTATATATATCATATATCTATATAATTATCTATATATCTATATATCTATATCTCTATATATATATATATATATATCTATATCTCTATATATATATCTATATATATATATCTATATATATATCTATATATATATCTATATATATATCTCTATATATCTATATATATATCTATATATATTTCTATATATTTCTATATATCTCTATATATATCTATATCTAGATATCTATATACATATATATCTATCTATCTATATATCTATCTACCTATCTATCTATCTATCTATCTAATTATCTATCTATCTATCTATCTATCTATCTATATATCTATATCTCTCTATATATATACTATATATCTATATATCTATATAAATATCTCTATATATCTATATCTCTCTCTCTATATATATATTTATACCACCATATATCTATATATCTGTATATATCTATCTATATTTCTATATGTATATATACATATATCTTTATATCTATATATCTTTAAATATATATATATCTATTTATCTATATATCTATATCTATATATATATATATATCTGCATATATATATATATATCTACCTAAAAGGTTTGCATTATCATGCGGATGATATTCAAACCCCAAGCCAACCCTGAACCAAACCTTATATAAATAGATCTTAAACCAACTCGATGATAACATCAAATGAAACTATTGTGCATCGTTGTGCCTTAAACCTACATTCCACATGTTTCCAAGGTGCATGTCGTGTAGTATATACACCTTGAGTATCACATTCAACCTAGCACCTTGCATGTGAAAATAGGTGTTTCCAATCTGCTTTGGGGGGGAGGCGCTGCGCCCTCCCCCCAATCCCCCCCTCCCGTTTTTTTTAATTTAAATTCAAGCTTGCACACATTTCAATACACTACTTTGGTTAGAATATATATATATATACATTGTATATATATATATATTGTATATATATATATTGTATATATATATATATATTGTATATATATATATATTGTATATATATATATTGTATATATATATATATTTATATATTGTATATATATATATTGTATATATATATATATTGTATATATATATATATTGTATATATATAACAACACTAACAACACTAACAACACTAACACTAGCAACACTAACAACACTAACAACACTAACGGTAACAACAACAACAACACCAACAACAACACCACCAACACCAACACCAACAACAGTAACAGTAACAACAAACAACTGTTGGAATGTCAGCCTTCAGCTCCAAAATCCTGCAAGTACTGTGAGGAATGTAGCTGTAAAATGTTGCACATACGGTGGAAATGCAGATTCCAGCTCAAAAATGCTGCAAAGAGCATGGAAAATGGACAGAACATGCTGCAAACTGTTGCAAATACCGTGGAAAATACAATGGAAAATGAGAGGTTCGAACTCAAAACCGTTGCACATACCGTGGAAATGGCAGTTTCCAGCTCCAAAATGCTGCAAATAGCATGGAAAATGGTGAGAACCGGAAATCCAAAAAAAAATCCCCAAACTTTAAAAAAAAAATCCCCAAACAATTTCCTACCCATAAAATAATAGCTCCAAGCATTGGCATATATATATATATAGAACATATTTTGCCAATAGCCAGTAGTAGTAGTAGTAGTAGTAGTAGTAGTAGTTGTAGTTGTAGTTGTAGTAGTAGTAGTAGTTGTTGTTGTAGTAGTTGTAGTAGTTGTAGTAGTTGTAGTAGTAGTAGTAGGAGTAGGTGATAGCCAACCAGATATATAATCATTCGATTGGGATGGAAAGAAAGCACAAGAAAGCGAGAGAGGGAGAGAAGGAGAAGGAGAGACACAGAATCTGAAAGCAACATCCAATCCATTGATTGAAGGGAAAATCTACATCAGGAAACCATAGATCTTCCATTATTTTCCTATTAAATATTGGGTTTTCCTGTAATTGTCCCTTAAACTAAACCAATCCATTGAAACATTGATTGATTGATTGATCAACTGTAGCCAGGAGAGTGCCGGATTCACGCACCGGCTCAAAACCTTCGGTGCACATACTGATTCAAGGCATCCCTAGCTGCGCTTCCAGGCAGACTTCCTGGATACTTTGGGCTTGGCAGACTTGGAGCCACCCAGTGATGATCCAATGCAGGCGCCGGGCGCATGGATGTCACGGGGGCTCAACTAGTGCGGGTGTATAAATGATCCAATGTCATCCAGCAACTCTGCTTTCTCATTCGGTTGCACCAGGTGAAATTCTTGGTGTTCTTGGGCCGTTTATGTTGACAGGCGGCTCAGAGCATGATCAAGGCCATGCAGGAGAAGGAAAAAGTGGTAGGAAGCTTGAGCGAAATGACGTTTGCCAAACATGAGTGTGCTTGTTCGTTTGCCATAACTTGCCGTAAGAGACACCACAAGTGAAATCTTCCATCAAAACTTGCCTGAAACTAAGTTTGTTGTTCTGGACCTGAGTTGTGCACCAACGCCTTTGGGGTGACCAACGTCACACCGCATAAGGCTTTGCAATTAAAAAGGGTCGCGCAAGCGAAGGCCACGGTCAAAGCCAAGACCTCTACTAGGCCGGAGCCGTGGGGGTTTCATGTCCGACCATACTTTACCTCATGAGCCTCATGACCCTTTTCTTATCTCTTACTCTAGCGGTCTTAGCAGGACATCCCCGCTTTTTGGATGCTTTTTAGCGGCTTGGGCCCGTTTGCTACCTTTCCAGTGTACAGATGTCTCACCAAAAGCAGGCTAATTCATGAGAAAATCACATAGAGGACATCATAGAACGTCTGCACAAAACACACTTGTCGTGATCATGGTGGGCTGCTTTCTAGATAAGTGTGGCCGTAGCAATGGTTTTCAGGAGCAAAGATGTGGCCATGACCTTGAAGGGATTGGTTGGGAGATTTGAGGGTGACACTCGCCTTCGGCTGCTAGTGAATTTTCACATATTTTTTCGTTTTTAGTATATTTTGTGTGTGTGTGCTCTATTTTGGGGGTTGGTATTAGTTCAGCACAGGGATGCCAAGGGAATTGGTTGAGTGCTGAACCTTCCCTCACCCTCAGATGTTAACGCTGATATTCCCAGACCTGAATAGAAAAGAAGTCTGCATGGGGTCAACAGTGTCTTAGCTGAGGCCTCGGATTCAGATTCGCAGGGGCCACAGAACTTGAAATTCTTGAATCAGAAGGTCATTCTGGGTGAAGGGTTGCTGGTCTAACGCTGGAGGTTGGGTAAGCAGTCCTTCCAGTCTTGGATCAGGGTGCTGTGATGTGCTGCGTGAAAACAATTCTGTTCATCGCAAGCTCTCAAGGAAACGGCAGGTGTGCTGATTCAGACAAGTTCTCGACACATCTCAACACATTCCACCTGCCACCGAGTCACCGAGGTCCTCATCCGAACAAAGTGCCAAAAAGTTGCCGTTTGCTGTGTGCAAGTTGTTCTTCACCTCTCTTCCTTGTGAGCGGCGATGAAACGTTTACTGTAGTAGCCATTTGAACTTTATAAGATTTAACCTTCACATACCCTCACCATTTTAGATCAAGATTCCGATATGATGACTACTTAGACTTACTAACGGTCCTATGGGTTAGGAAGGAGCTGACTGCAACGAACAAACGACAAACTTTGCAGGTCCAAACAGGTCAGTTTGCCCTTGTCATTGTAATGAATGGCCGAATGAGGAACGAACCCTCAACAGTTTGAAAAGCTGTTCGTGGTGCCTTGAACCTGAGGATTCTTCGGCTCGGGAATGAACAAAGTTAGAGTGCACCAGCTATCAGCAGCTATCAACACAGGGCATATTTCGCCATTACTCACTCCATGGACATGACGTATAAGTATAACATAGCATCGTATAACTACCACAATTGCGTTCCCACGAAAGAAAGCTTGACCAGCAAAGACGCAATTCGATTGAGGTTCGATCAGCCATCGCCTCAACCTGACTCGCCATCATCACCATGGCGATGGAGTCTGCTGCATCGACTACTGCCAGGGCGAGACGGATCCTGAATGGAGCACCTTGGATTCTGATGACGTTGTTAATCACGGACCATGAGTGAAGCAGGGTCCACCAATTCTTGATGTTTCAGATTAAGGGAGCTGGCCCTGCTTGGTCATTTGACATATTTGACTTACTCTTACGCAATATGTTTTTACCTGATACACCAACCGTGAAAGTGTGGCCGAGGCGAAGGCGAAGCAGAAGGAGCCACAAGAGTGACAGGGCTGTGTTTCAGGCTGAAATGTTTGCCTTGACAAACGATGACGAACCAATGTGTCCAAGGCTGTTTTGTCGTGCCACCTGAGCTTAGCTTGGCATTGGCCAAGCCACCCCTGCTGCAGGAGACTTGGGACGAACTCTTTCAGTCAGCTGACAAGGACGCGGCCTCTTATCACAGCTTCTCACTTTCTCACGAGAAGCGGTGCAAGGCAATTGAATAGCGTATGCCGCTGTATGCCAAACCTGCAGGGGTCTAGGGGTTGTGCATGGTTGTGCTTTTGGATCCTGTGGTTCTGGAAGGACAGATCAAAAATGCTGGACATCAAGGAGCTCAAAACAGCGGCTTTGCTTGAGAAGCTTCACACTTGAATCGCCAATTTTATCACCAAATAAGCAGCGGTGTGAAGCATGTGGGGAAGACTCGTGGAATATTCTTGGATCATGCAGTCTTTTCTCCTTCTGGATTTGTGTGGGTTATTGAACTCAAGACAGTTTTTGCCCCACTCTTTTGACATATGCCTGGGGACAGTTCCTTGCACATTTTACACCGCCCGAATTCTTGGAAGTGTTTGGGCTCATTGTTCGCATGAGCTGCATGACTAGCCTGTTGATGTTGGAGAGGCGCGGGGGCTGCAGACAGCTGCAGATGGCACTGTCGAAGTGGTTTGTGTGTGTGTGTGTGTGTTTATGTAGATGCTTGTTGTATGCCAGTTGTTTGAGGAATTTCAGCCTGCAGCCAGTGCATGCTGTCAAGATGCTACTGTTCCTTTTCTGCGTAGAATGGTTCCTTTAGCGTTCACCAGTCACGAAAGGTAGCATCAGCTACTGTACCTGAGAGAATGTGAGTTAACACTGGGGTGGTCCATTCCCACTCGTAGTCATCTTTGGAGAAAGAAGGACAGTTTCACCACCGGGGTAGGGGGGCCAATGTAGAGAGTCGAGAGTGCCTGAGACGGGTTTGTTTCATGGCAGCGACAACGGCTCAATTGACACCGTTTTGTTGTTTGCTCATTTTAGATTGGTTTGTCCACATAGAAGGCCTCAAGGTCCCATTGTTCATCCATTTTTCATCGATCCCTTTTCAATGATCCTTTCTCAATATACCGCATCTCAATGAATTTCCTGCAACAGGTTCTTGTACTACTGGTGACACCCACTCTACCTTTCGTCCACCCCTTCTCAAGTCTTGTGGATGAACCATGTTTGTCCTTGTGCCGTAGTTTCGGTGAGTGCTAGGTCCTTGACGTGGCTGGCAACTCTTTGCTTTGGAGGCCAGACTGCGGGCCTGCAGGTCGGAGCTTCTACTCATTTCTCAGCATGCTTAGCCCAGACCTGAGGCTCTGCAGTGGCCTTCGTGTGTAGCCCGGATTGGCCAGATGACTACTGTTCCCCGAACGGTTCCTCCCGGGATGGCTGCAGTCCCCAAGGAGATCAGTGAGGGTGCTGGGTGCTGGGACTGCAACGGGGTTGGGCGTGTTTGATCGGGAGAGGTAAGAGTTGAAAGCGATTTATTGAAGATACAAGGGCAGGGCATACAGAATCATACAGATGAATATGGTATGATATGATAATAATCAAGTACGAAACACCTTGCCCACTAGTTTGGCAGGTTGCAGTTCAATGGGCCGACGTGTGGTTGTACGATTTGCTTCCCGAGCAACCCAGCTGAATGTGATGGGAGCATTCCCAGGATACAAGCTCCTTCCCAAGAATCCAGACTGGATCGACATTCGAAAGAGGCTTGTGCAAGAGAGCCTCGACTTTTAGTTTTTTCATCGATGCCACACCATCAACCATCACCCGGATTTAAATGGTACGCCAAACTCTAAACGTGTGTATCTAAGTTGAACCATGTTGAACCACCCCGGGACTGAACAAGGCGTTGTTTCTAGGCAACCTACAGGTCTTATGGGGCCTATTGGACTGAGCTTGGAGCCGTTTGTCGGCAAACTACAGGTCTTGTGGGGAATTGCTTGGCGCTGTATGTGGGCAACCTACAGGTGTTAGCCCGTGTTGGATCAAGCTTCGGGCTGTTTGTAGGCAACCTGCACGCGTGCACCTAGAGGTCTTATCAGGCCTGTTGGACCCCTGGCAGCTGTTTGTTGGCACCCCAGGGCCCTAGGGGCCAGTTGGAGTTGCTTGGGGCTGTACATTGGCAACCTACCTACAGGTCTAGGGGGCCTCCTAAACTGAGTTTGGGGCCGTGTGTGAGCGTATGTCGGCAACCTACAGGTCTGATGGAGCCTGTTGGACCAAGCTGGCTGCATGTAGTAGGCAACCTACAGGTCTTATAGGGCGTGTTGGGCTGAGCATGACTGAGCTTGAAGCTGTCTGTCGGCAAACTACAAGTCTTTTGGGACTTGCTTGGGGCTGTATGTCGGCAACCTACAGGTGTTATAGGCCCTGCAGGTCTGATTGGGCCAGCATGCACCGCCAAACTTGTGCAACAGGGTCTATAAGCTTTCAAGGCCTGCAGGTTGCCAACACGCATAGACGCAAATGTTGTGTGAATTTGAAGTCTTGCATGCAACCCTTGGAACATGTGCAAACGGCAGTGGTTTTCAACTTCATCTTACATATTGGAGCCTACGCGTGTCAGCGAGACTTTTTTGAGATACCTTGAAACGCAATGAGAATTATCATGCATCTTTTTGGGCACAGGCGTGCAAAATGCTAACACTTTCAGACTTTCAGGTCCGAAAGCTTAAAATGTTAGTTGCATTCGGCTGGGGTCCCTGCTGGGTGGGGGGTTCAGAGAACGGGTATTGCAAGGACCCCATCATTTGATGGCCAGGTTCCGCTCCATACATAGCATCTTGAGCACAACAGCGCACATAATAGACAATGCACAAAAGCTGGAGATTATCGCGCTGATTGTCGTGTTTGCTATCTTGGTTCACTGGCAGTCCCGGCACTGTCTTGAGGATATGTTCATACAACTGCCTAGGTGAATTTTGTGCCTCGTTTTTTGTCAAATGACATGAGGTAGCGGGATAATCGATCATGTTCCAACGTGCCCCAAAGAAGCAGCGTTGCCACGAGGATGTTTGGTCAAGATCAGCTTCCGAGTGACGAAAGGCGTAGACTGGAATTGGCGGTTCATGCCTCACAAGAATGACAAGACTTCATAGAATTCATGACTGGTGCCAGCCACACAGTCGATATCTATGTCTGGGTGTGAGGCAGCATAGAGGTGTCAATGGACTACCGATTGGAGATGTTCTAAGCTATTTGAACAGGTTGAGGCAGCGAACCTTAGTGTTCAAACTTTCCCATCAGCTGAAGTTTGGGAGGCCGCAGCGTTTAACTACATTCACGGCGAAGCATCGCTTCCCAGACGTCAGGGCAGCATTACTTACTGGGTAATTTGATTGCCTCTCACAGAGATGCCGGTGCGCTGTAGCAATCTGACAGAGAAGCTCGTGCGCTGTTGCAACCTGAGGATTGTCTATCTTCCATTTGGGGAGCTGCTCAGTCAAGTGCTTGCGAGAAGCCGGTACCGATCATGGAGCTTTTGTGGGAGATGCCAGCAGCTTTGAATGTGCCTCGTGCTGATGGTCACCCACGGGCGGTGCGCCAGGAATGGCGAGGAGCCAAGCCATGCCAAGCGAGGAGCCATTGATGACCCAAACGGGCACAGGAAAGCTAGTAAAGGCAGTAAAGGCGATCAGACAGAATAGGAAACCAATTGCAGAAGTGGGCAGAGTCGACCAAGATTTAGCAGAGCCGAATCGCTGCTGCTGCTGCTGCTGCTGATGATGATGATGATGATGATGATGATGATGAGGCCTGTAGCTTTCATCAATTTCCAGCTGGTGCCAATGTAATTTGCCATCGTTGAGGCCACTTTCTCCAAGACGATCACCTCAAAGGTGTTTCTTACATTGAACACTTCTGGATGGGCGCCTGGAAACGCAATTTGGGGAGACTTGGAATTTTGAATGAGTTGGATGGCTTTACAATGCTTTGCACTTGTTTAAAAGAGAATGATCAGCGCAATTGCTCTCAACCTATGTTTAAAACAAAACGGATTTGCAAACTAGCCAGCTCGACCAAAAGGACTCAACATGATGGAATTTAAGTGACCCTTATGCTGTCAAGGAGTTCTTGCATGTGGTCAAGGTGTTGTATTCCCTTGATGTATTTAGATGTATTTACTTACCACTTATGCGTTGGGTCCGCTCCAGTCCGGGTGCAAGTGGGGCCATACTGTCATCCCAAATCCGTGACTTCGCCGGAATTATGAAGAATTTAACCCATTGGAGATGGAGCAGCATCCGCGGTTATTGTGTTCCTGGGCAAGCTTGTCTCCACCTTTCTGCTGATCTCATGTCTTTGGTTTATCGCGTTTGCGTGCTTTTGCATACTTTAAGATACTTTAAGTATCTTATATAGTATTTTTAAGTGTACTTTCGTGACTTTCGTACACAATCGATGTGCTTGAGGAGCTGACCAACCCCAAGCCCCTGTGCCTCCTGGCTGCAGCTGGATGCCTGGCACTTTCGGACTTTTTCCGATATTCAAGGACTTCCTCGGTATTATATATTAATCAATATATAATAATAATATATATGAATAATTAGCAATAATAAGAGAAACAAAAGAGAGAGAGAGAGAGAGAGATATATACATAATATAATAATATGATGGAATATGTTTTGCAGATGTTTTTGTAAGGTTTTGCGTCCTCAAGTTGTTTGTACCATTCATCAAGTCGTTTTAGTAAAACGGCCGCATAAATGTCGGCCACATAGAGATACAATTTGGAACTTGCAGGATTCAGCACGACAGCATGGAAATTAATGTGATGACCAGTGCTGTCATTCTTCACCCAAAACCAGAATCAGGTTATCATTATCATATCCATAAAGATCCAGAACGTATTCGAGGGTCAGGTTCTCAATGGTTCTCAAATGCAACTGGCGTACAGCTGAATCTTGGCCATTTGGGTCAACAACAACTACCCCGCCCATAATGTGATACATATATGCTGTGTATATTTTAAATTTGTGATATTTAAAGTTAACTGCTGCCGACCCCAATTATTTACAGCCAAAGGCTTAAATCACCATAGACTTGATGATGAATTCCCATCCATCTATATATATATATATTAATATATATATATATATATATAATTGTGCAATATCCCCATTTATGCCATAGCCATATTGAGGAATGGTTATCAATGCATAGTGCTTTGTTGCGCATCCTGTTTGGATTGCCACGACATGGATGAGCAGGGCTACACTCAGTGTGAAATTATAATTTTGTACATACACACACACACACATACGCATCACATTTATTAAAATATAATCCCTGCACATGTTTTGCATTGACCATGAAACTTCACAACCTCCCTCCCAACACGTGCACCCAACTCTACGCAAAGATGTGTGACAAGGCCGCCGCATCGAGGGAAGACGCTGGTGATTTTCCATCATGGCCACGGGGAGTCCAAAGGCTGCCCTACATACGGACCGGGTGGCGATGGGTGCATCAGGGTGCTCAGGAAGCATCATAACCTGAACATTTGCAGAATCAGGTTGCGGAAAGTTTTTCATCGTTTGGATTTGTTCGGTATTTTTTTGGACGTTTGAGCCCTAGTGGTGCTATGATTTGAAGATTGCCTTGAGTGTGAAAGGTAGGCCCAGCTGTTACTACGACGAGAGGTTTGTTACCACGACCCTTAGAGTCGTTACCACGACGGAAGAAGGATGTTGCCACAACGGGAGGGGGATGTTATCATAACGGACTAGTATTTTTAAAGGACATCTCTCTAGCCGGGAGCTCCGTTCCACTGGATTATACAGTGCCAACTGACACTGTATAATACAGTGGAATAGACTAGAGGAATGTCCTTCAAAGGTGCTACTCCGTCGTGATAACCCTTCTTCCGTCGTGGGAACAGGTTGCAACCCGTCGTCCAAACTTAGCCACCAAGCGTCGTAGTAACATGAAGGCATGGTCGCCAGCAGGCACTGCCTTAAAGTAAGCAGGTGGCGCAGGCGGCCCCTTGATCACTTTTTTGAGGAGCAAGGTTTTGAGATGTCTTGAGTTTTGAGCGCCCCTCGATGTCCGACGCGGTCACGGCGACGGGAGGAGACACTGAAGGAACCACCGATTGGTTGAACGAGATGGGTTTGGACGTGGCGACAATGATGAGACTTAGAATTCAGCAGGGGGAATCACCAGGGGTTGGTTGCAAAATCCCACTTGTGACATCGAAGGATATTCCCGTGCAAATGAGAGGTTTCTGCTCGTGCAGAGTAGACGTAGAATTTTGGCCCAAGGATGCCCTTTGTGGATTGCAACATCATCAAGGACCAGCCACCAAGCCGCCACGTGCCCCAGACGCCCGGGGGGCGGGGGGTTGTGCATTCGGCTTGCCCGGGGCTGGCTTCTCAAACGCGGTCAGGTAGGTTGCACGGGCAAACCTGAACTGGCAATGTCATGTCATGATACGTCATGCTGCGTCTCATCACCCACTGCCACCATCTGCCAGCCCTGCCTGGGTCCAAGGGTTGGTTCCAGAACTTTGAGGATGAGGGTTTGCCATGGGTGCGGTTCTTTGTCGAACCAGCTACATGGCTGGTAATCATGCCGTTGAGGAATGGGCTCTGTAGGTCGCATCACCTTCCGCCTTCCCAGACATGTCTTGATGAACCTCTTGCTGATTAGTAGGGACGAATACTTAGCGATCATGTTTCGATGGTGGTCTCCTGTTCCCAGCCAATGAAGTTGAGAGTGGCTGCCCGCATAGTCTCTTGGAACAAGTAAAAACAACGGCCAGCAGCTTGTGCAAATTTGAGTATTTTGAGTCAGCAAATCAAAACAAGGTTCTGCAGCCGTTGGTAGCTTTTTCCAGGGTCTGTGGAGTGAAGTGTTGCTGGAAATCATCGTGGAGTTGAACAGCAATGTGTGCAGACATGTGCGGACAGCTGCGGAGCTGCTGAGGTGATCAAAACCATCAACTTCGCCAAGAACCAACTGGGCTATGATGCTTGGCCAAAGGAGGAGGAGGAGATTGCTCTTCTTTGCTGAGCTCAGTGTTTGTTTCTACGCTTCTTGGGCCCAGTGACCAAATTCCTTTGCGCGTGACCGTGTATCCTCAGTTTCTGCACCCATTTTGAATGAGACCCATGCACTAGCTCTTAGTGAACATGCAAAGGATCTCAGAGAGCATTTCGAGAACCTCTGCAGGATGCTGCAGTCAGTTTCGGGCAACTTCTGCCAAGGAGCACATCATCATGGCCGGTTTGAGTGGAGGCGGATGGACCACAACAGTAGCGGCAGCGGTGGATCCCCGTATCGTGCCACGGCTATCTCGGTGTGCCCCCGAATCGCCCAACAAACGGCAACAACACTACATAAACTGATGAAGTAGTCACCTTTTTCCCCACCTGCCAGGTGAGGGTTGTTAGATTTTATGTCAGTTGCCTCCTCGTCCTCCTCCTCCTCCTGCTCCTCCTCCTCCTCCTCCGCCTCCTCCTGCCTCGTCCTCCTCCTCCTCGTCCTCCTTGTCATCCTTGTCGTCCTTGCTCAACTGCGACCCGCGATCCACAGTGTTCTCTGCCGGACCTCAACCACGACCACCCACGCCCAGCGTTCCCTGCCGGACCTCAACCACGACCACCCACGCCCAGTGTTCCCTGCCGGACCTCAACCACGACCATCCGCGCCCAGTGTTCCCTGCCGGACCTCAACCACGACCATCCGCGCCCAGTGTTCCCTGCCGGACCTCAACCACGACCATCCGCGCCCAGTGTTCCCTGCCGGACCTCAACCGGGAGTATCCATGCCAACTGTTCCCTGCCGGACCTCATGTAGGAAGATTTGCCAGATAGAATGCCAGAAAATCTGCCAGAAGATATGCCAGATAGATATGCCAGAAGATATGCCAGATAGAATGCCAAATAGAATGCCAGATAGAATGCCAGATAGAATGCCAGAAGATATGTCAGATAGAATGCCAGAAAATATGCCAGAAGATATGCCAGATAGATATGCCAGAAGATATGCCAGATAGAATGCCAAATAGAATGCCAGATAGGATGCCAGATAGAATGCCAGAAGATATGTCAGAATATATGCCAGAAGATATGCCAGATAGAATGCCAGAGAATATACCAGAAGATATGCCAGATACAATGCCAGATAGAATGCCAGAAGATTTGCCGGATAGAATGCCAGAACATATGCCAGAAGATATGCCAGATAGATATGCCAGAAGATATGCCAGAAGATATGCCAGAAGATATGCCAGAAGATATGTCAGAATATATGCCAGAAGATATGTCAGATAGAATGCCAGAAGATATGTCAGAATATATGCCAGAAGATATGCCAAATAGAATGCCAGATTGAATGCCAGAAGATATGTCAGATAGAGTGCCAGAAGATATGCCAGATAGAATGCCAGAAGATTTGCCAGATAGAATGCCAGAAAATATGCCAGAAGATATGCCATATAGATATGCCAGAAGATATGCCAGATAGAATGCCAAATAGAATGCCAGATAGGATGCCAGATAGAATGCCAGAAAATATGTCAGAATATATGCCAGAATATATGCCAGATAGAATGCCAGATAGAATGCTAGAAGATATGTCAGATAGAATGCCAGAAGATATGCCAGATAGAATGCCAGATAGAATGCCAGAAGATTTGCCAGAAGATATGCCAGAACATATGCCAGAAGATATGCCAGATAGAATGCCAAATAGATTGTCAGAAGATATGTCAGATAGAATGCCAGAAGATTTGTCAGTAAGAAAATGTATAAATGTCATGGTGGGGATCACACGAAGTAAAGTAATTTTCCTCCTCCGTGGGGTCTCATCGCAATATTTGGGGCCTGAAGCATCTCTGTAATTGTTGCAGGTTAATTAATTGGTAATTTTTGATGTGTTGGAGACACGATGCCTCTAAGAAACCATGTGAATTCCATTTGAAGCATAGGTTTTGCGGATTTTGTGTCCGAGTGCAGGATTGCTGAAGCATCATGGCATGCGCCTCCCTGCCTCCAAGGAGTTGTCAATGCCCATTGCTGGAAGTATACCCTGCGACTTCAGGTGCAAACTGAACTGGTGGCATGGCACTGGGTCGGCAGTTTGGGGCGGGTGGGCGATTCTTTGATACCTTGGCAGCAATGAATGCATTGGAAGTGTAGCTGTTTGTAGCTGTGCAGGATTATGGTAGGCTTTGATTCAAGAGCTCGCGCGATTAAATCATGTGACATCATGTAACATAAGTCCCCGTGTAGGTCTTTGGTTTAACAAAGCTGTGGGAGTCTCACTTCTGCACATGGAGGCACACGTCTTGGGATTTTGAGCAGTACTGTGGCGACCGCTGGGCCAACATTGGTGACTGGGCTGGAGGAGAAGCAAAGCGTGTTAGATCCGCATTTGATTTAGACTTGCATCGAGATTTTGTTTCTCTGTGTGTGTGTTTGCCTGCTTTACTTGATGTCGGTTGAAACCTGGAAATTACTATTCAGTTAGGGTTTGAGTCGGCTTGGGCAATCCTGACTTTTGGACATAGTGAGCTTTAATGTACCACTTGGGTGAAAACATCGCAAAACATCTATGGGACAAGAATAAGAGGAGACGGAATGCATGTGAGCCTCCCAATCCCAAGCCTAAAATGAAAGGAAACCGAGAAACAGATGGCAATGCCGCAATGCCCTTTGAAACTCGGGTGGCAGAAGAGACCTGCGATCGAAACATCTCGTACACATCAAGTGACTGACGCCATTCAAAGCAGGAAGCCCCAGAAAGAATGACGAAACCAATATTCCCTAGCTACACTTCTTTGCCAGGCTGCCTGCTCCAGTATATTCCAATAATTTCCAATATATTATATCATATTATATCTATATATATATCATTCGCTATATCCAATACAATAGGCGCAATAGGCCCTAGATGCAGGCAGACTTCCTCCCCTGAGCGGCAATCACTTATTGCTTATCCTTTAGCAGCTTTAGCAGCCACCCTGAACTGAGGCAATTACACTGCGCTATATGTCCTCGCTGCTCTGGAGGAAAACCGAACAAGCTACTTGGACACTTTGAAGACATGATTCAATGATACATGAGCCATCAGCAACTACAAGCTATCCTGTGTTATATACTGTGCATGAGTTTGCGCCTCGCTACCACACTGCCTTGTATTGATGCATAGACTGCGGAGGGCTGTGTTGCGGATGTTTCAACAGCCTGTCTCCAAACTCTGCCATTGCCCAGGCATTCAGCTACTTCATGAAGAGGATCCTTGCTGTTTCCATGGCTGTGGGCGCCATCAAAGAATCCAGGACGATGAGCAGATGCCACGAAAGTGGAGCGCAGGTCACGAATTGTAGCATGTAGCTTGCTGGAGTCTTGTTAGGAGTACAACCGCTTCGTTCAGAAGGAAGCGGGAGGCCTGTTTCGGACCATTGTCACGGAAGGGAACCAACACGAGGTGAATCCGAAGCTTGTTTTGCAATGGAGAAACCTAATGTTACTGTAACTCATATTTTGACATGCGCGGCTATTTTTTTTGAGAATGGCCCGAGGAGAGAGAAGATAATAGCAGGCGCGACCGACAGATTGAATCGAGAACGCTCCAGCACATTTCATTTTGTAGTTGGATGATGTTAGATGTTCCGCTTGTGCAGATTTTGGCAGGGTATCTCTCCTACAAGATTGCTCGCGGTCAGGCAGGAATTCCAGGGTACATATTTAGCTCCTAAAATTCAAGGAAGTTAACAGCAACAACCAGCACAACAGTCATGACGCCACATGACGCCACCATACCAGCCCACCTTTGAAATGTTTGTAGAGGCGATCAGCGTGGCGGATGTGCATTCCCCCTTTGACCTACTGAGTGAGACGCTGAGCATTCACACCTGAGTTTTTTATTTTGGATCACAGACACGATCACGATCGCTGTCAGATCCATCAATCAAGCACAATCAAGCACAACCCTGTGATGGTGCTCGTATACCTCCTGATTTCCTGACAATACTGCAGCACCAAGCGCTAGATCCAGGATGAAGACGGATGAAGGCTGATCGAGGTAAAAAGTCATGGAAAGGTGGCACCCCGTGATTGAACAGAAATGGCTGCTTGCACCGCTTCGTGCCCTGTTGAGATGTTCGGAAGTGCTTTGATTGATTCTGATTGGTTTTGATTGCCTCATTTATTTATCCGATGGTTTGTATGGACATTATCATGAAGAAATTCATGCACAAGCTTGCACATGGGGAAGGCAATGCGTCGTAAGATGTCGTAAGTATACTGCAGAATCTGCAGATGATTTTTTGCATCACTTCCAGCCATTGGGCAAGAATACGGGCCCCAAATCAACGAATCATTTCGTGATATTCCCCGGTTAGTTGCCATTATATATATCTCCTTGGGTCATCCCCGAACCAGCAGCCATACCAGTACCAGTGAATAAACCACATGACTCATGACAACAAGCAGATCTTTTGGGCGATGCCTCAGGTTCTTCGAGAGAAACTGAACATTTGCGAGGCAGCGTGACTTGTCCTGCATGGACCTGCATGGTGTGGGAGCCCCTCACTCACTGGTACGAAGGAAATGCCACAGAGACTTTTTGATCAGCCTGGCTTAGCTTTGCCCAGGATGGCATGGTTTCAAAGCAGTTCACAGGCTGTTAGTTGATGAGTTAAGTGCGGAGCTTGTATATGACCGTAACTATTCGGAAACTACAGGGATGTTGCTTACTCCATCGTTCAGATACCGTTCAGCTTTGGATCGAAATGAGGCTTTCGGACTTTGAGGTACAGACCATTCATAGCGAAATTGACTCAGATCAGCATCGCGGCTGCAGCTGGTAAGTTCATATGAAGACCGAGTAATAAAAATTGCAACCCCCATGGCTCCAAGAATCAATGCCATTGAGGCACAAGCAAAACCCCTAAGTGCTGGAGGCAGTAAGGGCCGCGGGTCAGCAAAAACCTTGCGTAAATTCGTTTTGGCCCTAGCTACTCCTGCCCGAAAGCTAAAATACTCTGGGCGCATAAGCAACGCCTAAGCGGAAGCATTCCTTTGCCGCCTTGACATCCACAAAATCCTTTTCACAGTACTGTAGTGGCCATATAGCCAGGGTGATGCGCCACTAAGGAGTGGGGTGGTTGACTGGCAAGAGTTTTTGCAGCACCTTGGCCGGCAACCCTGGAAGTGCAAGAAGTGACCTGCAAAATCCATCAAAATCCTGCAAATGCATGGGTGCCACGTTGCAAAGTTGTTCTCGGAGGGCACCATCTGCAAAATAAATTGAAATATCTAGGACATGTCAGCTGCATTTTGGACTGCGGTTATCACCTCAAGATACCTCGAGTCAGGTTTGTTGCACGCGGCCCAAAGCGCCCAGAAGATGAAGCCAAGCTTTTTGCGCTTCGAACAAAGCGAGTTCATCGTCGCCTGGTGGCACTGCGGACCGGGGCCTTCCGTCTCAGGAGGTGAAATCATGTCTTGGGTTCTGTTGGATCGAGAGCATGGTGGATGCAGTTGCCCATGAGGCAACATGCGCCTGGCGTTCAACAAGTTCCAGCAACTTGGACTCACACACTATTGACATGCGCCTTTTGTACCATGTTTGGTTGAATCCAGGCAGCCTTATGCATCCTTATGCCATGAGCACTTGTGGCCAAGCCTTGCCAAGCAGCCCAGAAACTAGATAGACATCCCTAGTTCAGTTTTGATAACTAGACTGGAACAGGATGTTGTTTTTCATGGCATTCATTGCATTTCATTGCCATGGACGACGGAGCCTGCTTCAGCCAAGTGAAATACAATCAGACACGGCCTAGACGGAGCATGGTACTGTAGGGCATTTGTGGAACCCCGCAGTGACAATTTGTGCCAACCTGCTAGGACAGACCAGTCAGAGACTTGTATGCAGTCAGTGGATGTCAGGGACCGAAGGTGCTTGTGCAGCCGTGGGCCACATGGGCATATCGTATCGTCACGCACCGTCATCTATCAACATCGTATCAGCAAAGTTTGATCACGAAAGCTAGCGGTAGCTAGCTGGAGTTACTCTTGCTTCAGCAAGGGGAGGGGCAGGTCTGCGTCCAACACAGTGATTTTTCACTTGAACCCCCCCTCCCCACCCCCCAAAAGCACCCGGAGCATTTTGAAGCGGTGTTGGAAGCAGATGGTCACGGGCTCAAATCCTGCCAGGTCTCTAGGCAAACTGTATTCATCACATCAAAATACAGTCAAAATCCCATCATGTTGCCAGGCTCATATGAACCTTAGCTTACGTTCACCCCCCCCTTGGGCCTCGAGTAAAGTTTGCATTTGTCCCACTTGCCGAGCTCCACCGAACTTGTGCTCTGGGCGTTGGTCAGAGCAATCCAGCTGAACCGTTTAAAACAGTTTGCCACGGGCCACACTAGAAAAACAACTGCGCAAACTGCCAAAAGAAACAGATGAACCATGATGAAACAGCACTTACTATGAGGGCGAGAAGATTCTTAAGATACAACTAATCAACGCGGACAAGACATAAAACAGGCACACGCGACGATGACGACGACGACTACTACTGCAACTACAGCAACACAGGAAACAATCACACGCTAGTACTACTACAGCACTTGCATTTAGATTTGAATCACCACACAGTAGCGCTTCACAGTTTGCGTCCAAGAGGACTGTGATAATAGCATGCAAGATGGATCAAGATGGTAGATCCCCAGACATGTTTCTAGGCCTTTTTTCCAGTTTCCTCCAACACACCGGAACAAACCCACAGGATCCTACAGGTTTTGATCAGGTTTGGGGGTCTAAGGTGACAGCAAGAAACGATATTTTCCAGCACGTTCGGCCTGTTTGTTTGGGCTGCTCCCGTGCATATTTGCCCCTATCCATTTCAGCGGCACAGCCCTCAGGCTGTGCAAAAGCTTTTCGAAAAGATCGACAAGGGCTGTGACCGCAGCTTGGGCCAAGCTCGGATGTTTCTAATATGTTATAATCGAATTGCCAGTTGAACAACTGATACACACATGTTCTTGTCAGGGGAGCTAAGCTGATCTAAGCTGTAATTATATTGTGATAAGTGATAACATGTGACAACTAAACTGATTTCCCCAAATCCCAGAGCTCGAATGTTTGCATCCTGTATGACGCTGTCATCATTAAAACATTTGGAATTCACGGCATTGATACAAAAGACTGCGTCAGCAGCGTAGTACATTATTTATGATATATGTAGAGTTGGCTAGGACATTGTGGGTCCTATAGGTCCACTATAGGTACGGTTAAGTTAAGTTATGAGGTCAGAGGCTGTCTCACCCTCAGCACTCCATGTCTCCCAAACGAGGAAAGATCTCAATCCATGAGCTCCTCACTTTCGTCCGCTCGGACCTGCACCTCGATGTTCGGATGATGTAGACTCACAGCATTTCAAACGGCCTTGGATATCTTGGATGGCCCAGGGCCGAAGGTATACCATCTATGACACCTAATATTATAGATGCACGTGATTAGAAATTATGGTGTTTGTTTATACATTTTGAAATAATATGATGGATCAAGTACCGGGCACAGACACTGAAAGACATGTTTCACACAACAGAATCTTGGCTTGCAACACGGATAAGAAACACAGCTTGTTGCAGCTCTGCATAGTGCCTTCGGACAAATTAAGGATCGTTTTCCAAACTCCAAAATGTATGGGATCACCAGGGCAAAGGCTAGAAGTGGTGGGCAACCTGGTTGAAGGTGCTGCAGACCCAGACGAATCATTAGAGCACTTCTACAATCGGACCAAGGAAGCTCACCCAATGGGACGTGTTTGAATCAGACACTCAGCTGCAAGTGAACATTTCATAGCTGGTGCCCTTGGGTTGCTAAGGGCAAATTAAGGTTGCCAGGGCACAACTGTTCCGCTGTTTGCTGGATTTTGTTTTCTCATTCCTGGGGTGAGACCCAGGAAGGAGGTGGAAACGGTGCAAAGATCATGAAAGGTATTGACAACTTGAGATTTTTGTGCTGAATGCTAGGACTGGACTGGTAGTTTCTGCATTTGTCAGGCACCCCAGGCATCAACAGTCTCGAGCAGCGTCCTAAGGAGTTGAAAGCATTCTACAAGACCATGGACACCAATGGAGATGGCGGCCAAGTCGCAGTCATCATCAGTCGCATTCAGTCGCTCAAAACCATCCAGCGGGCATGGTTTGATTTTGTGATGGGGTGACCTCCCCAAAGTTGTTTCACAGGGTCTCCAGACAGGTGAGGTAACCGTTGCAGGTGGATGTGCTAGTGGAACCTGTTCCCATGACACTTGACCATAAAAAACCGCTCGGATTTGAGGACTTGATGTTGATGAGCTGTTGTTGTTCATTCGCAAGACACGATCCACTTTTCAGAAAGGAAAGCCAGGACCTCGGCTTCACAACATGATGCAGGACAGAATTCGGCGGTCGATTGAGCTTTGTGCCAGGAGTGCTGCACCATGTATTCAATCAGGCTGCATGTGCCCAACAGCCGCGTTTTCTCACAAGGTGGCCAGCAAATGCTACCAATATTATTGGCAGGTCAAAATCACAAGCTGCTTTGGACATCCCCATTGCAACAAAGTCTATACACCTGCCCAGCAGCGAACCCAATCAACTCGCCATTCCGCATACCGCGAAGAAGACGACAGAAAAAGAGCAGCTCCCACCCACACAGCGGACATGCAACTGGTGCTGCAGCCCTCTTTCCAGCAAGCGCCATGGCAGCTGGTCAGGAATGACGATACAAAAGCATGCCAGCAGCGGCAAGGGCAAGCATTGCACCACTTGGGTTGGCGGATTTCACCATGGGAGGCATGAATATCACCAATGTCATTAAGTCATTAAGTTTCGCTATGTTTCGCTCATAAGTTTCATTTGGTTGCCACGTTCATCCTGAGATTCCTTGATTGCCCCCCATGCACTATGAAGGTGGCCTGGCCCCCGAGATCATGAGACAAGAGCTGCGTGTTGGTCCCGGGTGCTGCGGAAAGTCGAACGATGCTTAGAGGCCTAGTGGGGGGGATAGCATTTGATCTTCAAATTCCATCACCCATGCTCGTGCTTCAAACCTACGGTGCTGGTTTCCCTCTTGGCCAAACATGTCCTTTGGAGCCAAACATGTCCTTTGGAGCCTTCACTTCCCGGGCTTTCCAAATTTGGTACCAGAACCAGAACAACTTTGTAATTTTTGCTCCAGTTCTCATTTCTCCATGGGCCACCTGGGTATGCGAGGACGCCAAGGCAGCGGACTTGTGTGAAGAGCCTGCTGTTGCGCAGAGAAAGTTCCAAGAAGCGGCGAGGATGCTGCGACTTGGTGAGACTTGCGTAAGGGATCGTGAGGGGCAATCCAGTCAATGTGTTTCCGCAACCTAAAGTGGTGGCCTGAGAGTAGTGGCTCGACAGTAGTTTCACGCGTTGTTTTGCAGCAGTTTTGGCAAATATTGGCATTTTTCAAACGTACTTTAGTTTTTTACCCTTAGATATTGTTGGAAAATAGGCCAGAATGGCAGCACGAATGGAACACCCAGTCACCACTTTGAGCTGTAAAATGATTACGCAGACCACACATATCATAGGAACTCTTTAGTAACACCGCTGGAACATGCATTCTTCACGGCAGGGCTACCTTAGATGATCCGATGTTCTCCTTTGATCCCTGCCCTTTTTCTTTGAAAACCTTTGGTCACGAAAGCCAGCCGCTAGGCTAGGCAAAGTTCCTTTTGCGAACAAAGTGAGTTATAGGGGGCCTGGGGGTAGAGCGCGCCAGGAGGTGACAAAATCACGGAAATCACGGAATTAGGTGCAGTGGGAGGGGTGTAAATGGGAGCTTTTTGGGGGTTATGTACCAGGTCGCAATTGGGTGACGGTGGGGTATCGATTCCCCCCTGGTCCATCATCCGAGGTGCATTTGGGGAAACCGGAATGGAAGGGTAAAATTATGGAGAAGTCGAGTAGAACAATGAAAACAATTGGAAAAATCGAGCAAAACCATTTGAAAATTTGGTAAACCATGGAAAATGGATGAAAATGGAGTAAAACTAAACCATGGAAAAATCGAGCAAAACCCCAGAAAAATTGAGCAAAACCATGTAAAAATTGAGTAAAACCACAGAAAACATCAATAAAACTATGGAAGAATCGAGTAAAAACGTGGAAACATCTAGTAAAACCATGGAAAAATGAAGTGAAACGTTTGCAAAATCGCCGACAATGGTCTGCCGTCGGAGGTGCGTTTGGGGAGGCGTTAGACACACTGGAATCGAAGGGAGTGCTTAAGCAGCTTCTGTCAGTAGTTGGGATTGTTCTTGTCGACTTGTATTTGTTGGGCTCCGATGTGGGACCATTATGAGGAAAAGGCATTGCTTGATGGTCCGTTCTCGGAGGTGCATTGGGGGAGGCGATAGAGAGACTGGAATCAAAGGAGTCAGTGGAAAAGGCATTGCTTGATGGTCACAAGGATTAGAAGCAACTTCTGCCAGTAGTTGGGCTCCGATGTGGGACCATTATGGTCGCAAGGATTAGAAGCAATTTCTGTCAGTTACGATGTTTTGGGAAAGACTGGAATAGAAGGGAGCCAGAGGGAAAGGCATTGCTTGGAAAGGTTGCGGAAGGATGTGGATGAGATTGTTCTCGTCGACTTGTATTTGTTGGGCTCCGATGTGGGATCATTATGGTCGCAAAGATCAGAAGGAACTTTTGTCAGTATAGGATGCTTTGGGAGAGACTGAATAGAAGGGTGTCAGAGGAAAAGGCATTGCTTGAGGAACTTCTGAGGAACTTCTGTCAGTATAGGATGTCGACGAGAATGTAGCCATCTACTTGTATTTGTTGGGCTCCGATGTGGGACCATTATGGTTGCAAGGATTAGAAGGATTTTGTGTCGGTGTAGGTGGGCTCCGATGTCGGACCACTATGGTCGCAAGGGTTAGAAGGAACTTCTGTCAGTATAGGTGGGCTCCGATGTGATTGTGGTCGGAAGGATTAAAAGGAACTTCTGTCAGTATAGTAGGATGTGGACGAGAATGTACTCGTCGACTGGGGTTCCGATGTCGGACCATCATGGTCGTAAGATGTCGTAAGGATTAGAAGCAACTTCTGTCAGTATACAATGCTTTGGGAAAGGCTGGAATAGAAGGGAGTCAGGGGAAAAGGCATTGCTTGGAATTGTCGTTGGAGGATGTGGACGAGACTGTATAGTAGCCGACTTGTATTTGTTGGGTTCTGTCGGCACGGGATGTGAAATCAGCAAGCTTTGGAAAGGGGTGTTAGCATAGCAGAAGATGAGACTGCTGCGTCGGCTCCGTCAATGTTTTTTTGCATTTTTTTGGTGAAATGAGGAAGCTTTGGAAAGGGGTAATGAAAATATGAGGTGAGGAGGGCAGAGGTAAGGGTCCGTGAATGGAGGCACAGTCGCTATGGAGAAGAAACTTCTGTCGGTATAAGATGTGAAATTATAGGAAACTTTGGAAAGGGGTGATGAAAATATGAAAATATGAACGTAAGGATCCCTGAAAGTCTGAGGGCAAAAAGTTTGCGGGTGAAAAGTCTGTGGGTGAAAAGTCTGTGGAAGAAGAGTCTCTGGATGAAGAGTCCCTGGGTGAAAAATATGGGTGCAACGTATATGGGTGAAAAGTCTGTGGGTGAAAAATGTGACAAGGCTGTGCGTGAAAAAGTCTGTGGGTGAAAAGTCTCTAGGCGAAAAGTGTGTGGGTGAAAAGTGCGCGGGTGAAAAGTCCGATCAAAAGTATATGGGTGAAACGGGTGTGGGTGCAAAATCTGAGGGTGCAAAGTCTGTGGGTGAAAAGTCTGTGGGTGAAAAGACTGTGTGCGAAAAGTGTATGGGTGAAAGTCTGTGGGTGAAAAGTATATGGTTGAACAGCCTTGGGCGAAAAGTATATGGTTGAAAGACGGTGGGTGAAAAGTCTGTGGGTGAAAAGTCTGTGGATGACAAGTCTGTGGGTGAAAAGTATATGGGTGAAAAGCCTGTGGAAAAAGGCTCGCTGGGTGAAGAGTGTCTGGGTGAAAAATATATACGTGAAAAGTCTGTGGCTAAAAAGTCTGTGGGTGAAAGGTTTGCGGGTGATAAGTCTGTGGGTGAGAAGTGTGGGTGAGAGGTTTATGGTTGAACAGGCCGTAGGTGAACAGTGTGTGGGTGAAAAGTCCGTGGGTCAAAAGTATATGGGTGAAACAGGTATGCGTGAAAAGTCTGAGGGTGCAAAGTCTGCGGGTGAAAAATCTGTGGGCGAAAAGTGTATGGGTGAAAGTCTGCGGGTGAAAAGTCTGCGGGTGAAAAGTCTGTGGGTGAAATGTCTATGGGTGAAAATTCTGTGGGTGAAAAGTTTCTGGGCGAAAAGTGTATGGATGAAAAAGCACATGGGCGAAGAGCAGTATATGGGGGAAAAGTCTGAAGGTAAAAATTATATTGTTGAAGAGTCTGTGGGTGGAAAATCTGGAGGTGAAATGTATATGGTTGAACAGTCTGTGCGTGAAAAATATATGTGAAAAGTCGCTGGGTGAAAAGTATATGGGTGAAAAGTCTGATGGTGAAAAGTATATGGGGGAAAAATATGAGGGTAAAAAGTACATTGGTGAAGAGCCTCTGGGTGAAAAGTGTGTGGGTGAAAAACCCGTGGGTCAAAAGTATACAGGTGAAACGGGTATGGGTGAAAAGCCTGAGAGTGCGAAGTCTGTGGGTGAAAAGAGCGCGGGTGAAAAAATGTGGGCAAAAAATGTATTGGTGAAAGTCCCTGGGTGAAAAGTATATGGGTGAAAACTTGAAAAGTAATTATATATATATATATTATATATGTGAAAGTCTGAGGGTGCAAAGTCTGTGGTGAAAAGTCTGTGTGCGAAAAATGTATGGGTGAAAGCCTTTGGGTGAAAAGTATATGGTTGAACAGCCTTGGGTGAAAAGTATATGGGTGAAAAGTCTGTGGGTGAAAAGTCTGTGGGTGAAAAGTCTGTGGGTGAAAAGCCTGTGGGTGAAAAGTCTCTGGGTGAAAGGTCTGTGCAAGAAGAATCTCTGGGTGAAGAGTCTCTGGGTGAAAAGTATGTGGGTGGAAAGTATATGGGGGAAAAGTCTGTGGGCGAGAGGTGTATGGTTGAACCGTCTGTGGGTGAAAAGTATATGGGTGAGAAGTATGGGTGAAAGACTCCGGGTGAAAAGTCTGTGGGTGAAAAGTATATGGGTGAAAAGTCTGTGGATGAAAAATCTTTTGGGGAAAATAGGGGTAGCTGGGATGCTGGCTTTCGTTTCCCCCTTCTCAGGTTTTCTTGTGTGTTCTTCTGTTTTCTTTTTCCCCTATCAGTACCAATGTGTTTTCTGTAACAGGCGTTGCACATTCCACCAAGGTATGGGCTAAAAGCTAGCAGCGTCAACCTTTCCAACGCATGGGCTGCACCAAAGTATTATGGCTTTTAATTTTGGGAGGAACGGAGGAAACCAAAAGAAACAACAAGAAACACAAAAGAACTAGCTAAAATCAGTTCTTCTTAGGTTTCCTTTGATATCCTTCGGTTTCCTTTGGTTTTGGGCTGGGTGGATTCTATGGTTCTCCTTTGGTTTCCTTTGTTTTCCTTTGTTTTCTTTTGGTTTCATTTGGTGTCCATGGGAGAAAAACAGGAAAAGAAAGAGAATCCAACGAAAAGACAAACCAATCAAGGAAAGTCTGAGGAAGCTATAAGCCCATAGAATGCATCAATAAGGATGCTGCTAGAACATTTGTGTACCTCCTCGACGGTGGCAGCGGGCCAAAGGTGTGAGCAAGGTGGTGCGAAACACAAACGCAGATACCAGTTGAAGCCAGCCACATGGCTTTTGCAATTTGCAGTCCTTGTTTGCACTATGACCATGGCGGAAGCCAAGCCATGGCCAAGCCAAACAGCTAATTCAATGCTCAACACTTCCGAAGTGAAAGTGACCGAAGCCTTCTTGCATCATCCTGAGACACAGGACAGATGGGTCAATCTGACCGCAATCCCTAATGACAGCAGTGCATACACCAATTGCAGTGGCCAGTGCGGCCCCCCACACCTGCCATTGGAACACTTGGTGCAAAGATTTCTGGATACTTGTGATGAGATGCAGAACCATGTGAGATTCTACGTCCTTATTTTGACCGGTATCTTTTTGATTTCATGCGCCGCGACCTCTTTTTTGGCCACCGCCGGGCACAAACGTCGGAGAGACCGACGACGACTCCATAGAAAACATCACCCACAACAGCAACAGCAACAAAGGAGAAGATGCATTTCTCCAGCAAAAACCTGCGCATCTACCAGACGCAAATCAGCACGTGGAACTTCACAGCGTCACCGCAGCAGGCAACAAAGACAAAGAAGACTCTCCTGCAGAACAACTGTGACCTGGCAAATGTTGCGCAAGGCACATGTCAGACCAACCACGACCTACCGCAAAGAAACTATGCGAAGGCTGTGCAACACCTACAGCCTTTTGATACCAATCAAACCTTCGCGCCACACATACCCAACATACCACGGTTGGGAAGGAGAAGCCGGAGGAGCAGCAACCACCAAAAAGAAAAGACAAAGCACAGCAGCCACGGAAGCAATCTCGTTCCTTGAGGCCGTTGAGGCTCTAACTAGAACCATACGACTGGGAATGCTTTCTGAGACCAAGCTACCCACGGCACTCAAAACAATCCTGGGCACATACACCCCCAAGGATAGTACCGAAACAGGACAACACCTTGATGACCACTGGCAAAACAACTGGTGGCACAACAGCGACGGCCACCAACACTACGAGAATGCCAGGCAGCACTCCTGTCAAACAGGACACAAACTAACAGCCATACTGGCAAAGTGGCCAACAGGCCCAGCAACAACCAACGCCATGGGTCAGCAACCAGTGGCCCACACCGGAACAAAGCAGAAGGGTGCATCTACAAGCTGGCGCCCAAACTACCGCAGCAAAGCCAATTCAGCCCATCGTCACAAGCGAATGGCTACACAAACCAATCCTTACAAATGCCAATGCAATCACAGGCCCTGCATGGGGACGGTAAACTACCAGGCAACCTGGTTGAAGTCACCACTACCGAGGCGGGGGAGATCGGCGACTACTATCAGGCCTACGGTGCAGATCAACAATTGGCAATCTTGTGGCAAGGTCATTCCACATATTCCACCGAGAAGAATGATGCAACCATAAGAAGAGTCAGAGTACAACACAAGGGCACCAGCCAGTTCCGCGCAGTTCAGATCACCTATAGAGATTTGGGCACCACCAACAGCCCAATTCCAAAGCCAGCAATGTCAGTCAATCTACCACAGGATATAGCTACGGATGAAAAGATTACCGTACGAATCACCACACCAGCAACATACCGCCCGTCATTTTTGCAGAAAAACAAGGAGAATGACCCTAGAAGCATCCTGAACGACATACAACTCTGGAAATTGACCGGCCTTACCAAAGGTCAGCTCACCAACGGAGATTGGTGCACACAGCAAGGAGTTCAGATACAAGGATACATCAAAGTGAGACCACCGCTCGCCAATGAACTACTGGCCCAAAGCGGTCACAAAGCAATTTGCATTACCCAATGTGGGAACCACGATCAACAGCCAATGTTTTTGTGGCACAAACGCAATCCCAAGGAAAGCCATGAGGATTACTTCAGAAGAATAGAAGCCTATGCCACCAGCAACAGCAAGCACTTCAGTGGATGAAAGCAGCACTCTGGTGGACATGTTCTGGTATAGCTGGACAATCCCAGTCGCCAACTCAACATCCACAAGGGTCGCTGCTTCGAGCTCTTCCTTGGATCCTTTTCTCAGCAGGCACCACCGTCCAGGTCAATCTCCTCTGTGGCAAACTTACACAAGGCCCCTTGGCACAAATTGTCTTCATAAAGACGTTAGCTGGCTGCAAAATGAAGCTCCCAGGCTTCAAAAGCGTTACCCTCGCCACTCCAAAACAGCATGCCAGTGAAGGACGGATGGCCCCCGCGGCCAGCAGCCGGTAGTGCCTAACGTTGCTTTTTGAACTGACAAGAAAGTAGTTGCAAAATGCAGCCCCCAGGCTTCAAAAAACATTACCCTCGTCACTGCATGCCAGTGAAGGACGGATGGGCCAGGAGCCGGTAGTGCCTAATGTGTCTTTCTGATTTTACAAGAAGCCACCTGCAAAATGCAGCTCTCAGGTTTCGGAACGTCACCCTCGCCACTCCGAAACAGCATGCCAGTGAAGGACGGATGGGTTCCGCGGCCAGCAGCCGGTAGTGCCAAGAAGCCAGCTGCAAAATGCAGCTCCCGGGCTTCACAAACGTTACCCTCGCCACTCTGAAACAGCATGCCAGTGAAGGACGCCCAGGAGCCGGTAGTGCCTAATGTTGCTTTCTGAACTGACAAGAAGCTAGCTGCAAAATGCAGCTCCCAGGTTTCGAAAACGTCACCTTCGCCATTCCGAAACAGCATGCCGGTGAAGGACGAATGGCCCCCGCGGGCAGCAGCCGCCTAACGTTGCTTTTTGATCCTTTTTGAACTGACAAGAAATTAGCTGCAAAATGCAGCTCCCAGGTCGGCCAGCAGCCGGTAGTGCCTAACGTTGCTTTTTGAACTGACAAGAAACTAGCTGCAAAATGCAGCTCCCAGGTTTCAAAAACGTTACCCTCGTCACTCCGAAACAGCATGCCCGTGAAGGACGGATGGGAGCAGCCGGCAGCGCCTAACGTTGCTGTCTGAACTGACAAGAAACTAGCTGCAAAATGCTCGTGTAATCTGGTCTTTCTCTCTAGCTTCTTGTTGCTTCGCTTCTTGCTTCCTGCTATTGATTATATTGCTTGCTCTTGCATCTTGCCTCTTGCTTTTTGTTCCTTTTCCTGCTTTTTAGGGTCTTGTTCCATCTCTTGTCATTTTGCCTCTTGCTCCTTCGCTTGTCCCCTCTTCTCTGACGCGCCCCCCCTGCTGTAGGCAGGGGTCGGCAGATTTTTGATATTGGGACCTTGTCGGCGTGCATCAAAACAATTGATTTTCCAGGGGGACCAAGAGTGACTATAAGACCTAAGAAATTTTACGTTCTTGTGGGTATTGGGACCTTATGGGCTCTCAAAAAAAATGTTTGTGTTGCATTTGTTTGATGGACAATGACCGTACAACGCCTTATGGGCGTCCCCAAAAATTGGTTTGCCTTGCGTTGCCGGATGGAAATTTGATTTTATATTTAAAAAAACAATTTTTCCCCTCTCTGGCAGAAGAAAACATTGGATGTCGGGGCCTTAACTGGATGGAACATAGGAAATTTTGGTGTGTAATTAAAACTATTTGTTTTCCGAATGGCGGGATATCTCCAGAGGATACATTGCATGTCACATTCAAGGAAAAAGAACGGATTGCGTTGTTAGCTATTGCATTTTTTGCGTTTGTTAATTATATATTTTGGCTTCTGGCATGTCGCAATCAAGGAATCCTCAGAGGAACAGATTCCCTACATTTGCGGCCTTGAGGTCCGTAGTCCCCAATGGCCAGTTGCGTGCAGTGGAAGCATGGGCAGACTGTGGCCGCGCAGGGCTGGAGGCATCAGAACCCTTCGATGCTCTGGCCTGGGGCCCAGGTAAAAACCGGTGAGAAACTAGACATGATCACTCATGATCGAACATGTAGATTGGTGCAGGGGCAAGTCATCAAAAACCCTTGGCACCACCAGTGAGAGCAGTCGTCACTGTAACATGATGATGTCTGCAGCATGTGTATCGCGAGCAGTTCACCCAATCCAGGAGAACATACACTCACTGGAACTTCTGCTCTTTCACCACTTTCCACACTCATCTCAGGGTCTCTTGGACCAAGCTTGCCGACATACAGCCTAAGATTCCCCAAGCTCGGTCCAACAGCCCCCACAAGACTTGCTTGCCAACATACAGCCCCAAGCTCCGTCCAACAGACCCCCAAGACCTGTAGGTCAACATACAGCCCAATATGCCCCAAGCCCAGTCCAATAGGCCCCAAAAGACTTGTAGGTTGCCAACATACAGCCCCAATATGTCGCAAGCTCGGCCAAGATGCACCAAGCTCGGTCCGACAGGCCCCATAAGACCTGTAGGTTGCCAACATACACCTCCAAGATGCTTCAAGCTCAGTCGAACAGGCCCCAAAAGACTGCTAGGTTGCCAGCAGACAACCCAAAGGTCCAACAGGCCCCAAAAGACCTGTAGGTTGCCAAGATACAGCCCCAAGATGCTCCAAGCTCGGTCCAATAGGCCCCATAAGACCTGTAGGTTGCCAACACACACCCCTAACATCCCTTAAACTCGGCCCAACACGCGTTAAAAAACTGCAGGTTGCCAACCTACAGCCCAAGATGCCCCAAGCCCGGTCCAACAGGCCCCATAAGACCTGTGGGTTGCCAACATACAGCCCCAAGATGCCCCGAGCTTGGTGCCACAAGACCTGTAGATTGCCAACCTGCAGCCCCCAAGATGCACCAAGCTGGGTCCAACATGCCCCAAACCAACTGCAGGTTGCTGACAGGGCCCATGTAGAATGTAGAAACATGTAGGTTGCCAACATACAACCCCCATGCACCAAGCTCGGTCCAACATGCCCCAAAAGACTTGCAAGTTGCTGACATACAGGGCCCAACAGGCCCCACAAGACATGTAGGTTGCCAACATACAGCCCCAAGCATGTATGTTCTGCATACAGTATGCGTCAAAAAACAAGACAGTGAATTCAACAACCGAATGCCGAATACATCAGTGAAAACACAAGAACATACACAACCCAATACATTGAAAGGTGGCCTGTGAGCTTGGCCTGCAGCTGGTACCGGAACACTGGCGCTGTGGGATGACCAGCGCCTTAGCTTTGGAGTCCTTGGGCTTGCTCAACATCGCAGAGGTGCTGTGCGCACTGCACCGCAAGCACAGTTCATTTTTTCGTTGTGTTCAATATCTTTCGATTTTACCATCCCCTTGCCTTCTTTTTGAGCAGTGTTGGATGGTCTGCACCCTAGCGGCTAGCGGCAAGTTTATTTTATTATCTCTATCCTAGCGGCTAGCAGTGTTATTCCTGCTTCTTGGCTGATCAGTTTCGTGCATAAGGATACTGTACTGTATATAAGACAGCTCTTGATTTGAAAACCATCCTCTGTAACGGTCCTTCTTTTGTGTCACACTTCCCTCCCCGTCTCTCCCTATATCTCCGCATCTCCATGTGGATTTTGGGCCCCAGAGAGCAGGAGCGCCTCCAAGCTGCCGCGCGAGTGGCCCGAACTGACCGCGATACCATGGCTGCGGCACTGGAGGGTCTACGTCGCGTCAGGGCCAGGTTGGCCCAGGTGGAGAAAGGAGACGCACAGGCGCTGGGTTTCGGCTGGATCCTGAAGCCTTCTCAGTCAGCAACTATGGAACGGTGCTGTCCAGTTGCGTTGAAGCTCAGGGCCCTTTCATCATTTTAGATCTCATTTGAGTTTCACTTGAACTCTGCATGAGACCCGCATTTGCACCTTGAGCCCCATTCTGCAAGCCTTGGAGGTTCTTGTAGAGGAGATCCAGAGGATGGGTTCCTTGCTCGGAGATGAAGAGGTGCCGCGGATTCCAAGATCCCAAACCCAAACTGCATCATTTCTCACATTGCACAGGTTTGGATCAGATAGAACAGATGCACAGAATGGGAACCAGATGAAGTATTCAGTATGGTTGAGTGACTTGTGCAGAGCCTGGCGCAGTTTACAAGCTGAGCCAGTGGGTCCTTCAAACCCTTTTAAAAGCGGGAGTGGATGCTGTATTTTGGCGGGCGTCAGGCCTATTGAGGCTTATTGGCCGATTGCCTCCCATCCTCTGACCAGGCAGGTTATTGGATCAGCTGTGTGGGCGAATGCAGCCGAACGGCGGAGGGCCAAGCTGAGCTGGTGCAGAAAGGATCGACTGGGTGTTGAGGGATTAAATGCGGAATATGGATGTGAAGAGTGTGGGGTTTGGATGTAAGAAGTTGTGACTGGTATTGGCCACACGTCAAATGCACAAGGTTTCGCTGGAGGGCTGGTGTTTCTTTGGTAGACCGGTTGAATTTGGTGATGGAATTGTGTTTCTTTCTGAGATTCTGGCCGGTGATGGCGCCTTCAAAGCGAATGACCGCTGGAAGCTCCTTGTGGATCTATCACGCACACACATACACACACACATTAAATATACATATATATTAATTCAATATTATACCATCAGAGGCTGGTAGTTGACATTTGACCTGCCAACCAGGTCTGGTGGGGCTTGTCATGTTTTGAGAGGTGCCTTCTTGAGGCATTGCGTTCTCTTGCGTACAGTTCGTAAGTGAACGCTAGTAGCTATAGTTCACTGATCACCGGCAGTACTTAATTGGCGAGTGGTATGGCACGACTCTAGCCCCTGTTTTGGGATCCCCCGCATCACATGAGCAGTGCAGGTTTTCTGCAGCACAACCATAAGAATTTGGCCAAACCTGCGGAAGTAGCAAGGAGAGCCAGTGTGGTCGCTCTCAGGTCTGGAAGGGAAGGGGCGATATTGAAGTTGGATGAAGTTGCCAAGATGTGTCAAAGGTCGCCAAAACCGTAGCTTCAGTGAATATTTCTTTTAAACAATTGCAGGTGTGGTTCGCAACTTCGAATCTCGAGTTGTCCTAAAATCTAAACAAGTCTCCGAAATAGTTTTGCAGGATGAAAAAGTCAGGACCCGCTGTTTCTCAACTGGTGTTGTTGAGCAAAGAAGCCCGGTGATTGATCTGACCAGCCTGGAAGCTCGGAAAGTGTCGGGGACGGCAGGTATCGAATCAACAAAAAATTGCAGAGGTATCTCTCGAGCGCTGGTTTGTTGCACTGGCCTTGGAATGCTGGTCAATCGTGTCCATCTTGTCATCAATTGTCAGTTGTTTGTCTGGATGCATCAATTTTTCATAATTTTTCAACAATCATGATAAACCTGTTGCGCAAGATGATCGCGGTCTCCAGTGCCGGGTCCAACTATTCCGACCCTGGAAACTCTGCTGCTCAGGATGGGTGTGGCTGACAAATGTGTCCTACCCAAGGTGGGCCGGTCTTGGCACCGTAGCCAAAGAAAGATAATTACCTTTGCAGATGGACATGGTACATTTCCCTGGGCAAACTGACGTCAGAAAAAATATCAACATATTCAACAATGGAAGAGAGCCGTCTGCGGACATCGACAGTTTGGTGGCCTTAGCTGCTGCAGGCCGTGAGCCATCCCATGGCTGATGGCTTAATGAACCACGACGCATGGCAGACTTTGCGGCAAAAACGCATTGCGGTAGTCGACTCTGCTGTACCGCTGGAGGTGGTGGCCAAGGTGCGGCTTTGGAATTGGATTTGGTGGGGATTTTTTTTTTGTGAATGGAAGGGAATGGAGTTCTGGCTGCCGTGTCCAACAGGAAACAATGACACAGTTCATCATGGCATGTGCAGGTGCAGATGGAACTCCAAGCTCTTCGCTCGGGTGGAGTGATGCAGATGCTTAGTCATACTTAGTCCTTCCAATGGGTTGAGGGATGGTACATGATGGGATACACTATGATACATTGCCCGAGGAAGGCCACGATCCTTTAATTCACACCATCAACAACACAGTCTCCGAGGAGATAGGAAAAATCATAAAAAATCTAAAGTCATTGAATTGGATCACTGCAAGTTTGTACAAGGTTCACTGGCATGCCTCTTCCAACCCCCTTCCAGTGCCACGGGTGTTACCATTGCAAGCTTCAAGCTGATTCTGTGATAGTCCGTGATACTCAGCTTCCCCCCGTTGACCTTGCTTGTGTAGAAGGCATTGGAATTGAATTTCAGCTCCAGCGCTTGAATGGTAACTGAGGAATGACACGAATGATGTTTGCAATCCTCTCCAGGCGAAGCTAAAATCACGAAGCACGCAGTGACATTATTTTAAGCCCAAGCAGGCCACGCGGTGGCGACAACATTCTGGGATTCAAACTTGAACACAATGAATTGAAGCAGTTGAATGCGCCGGTAGTTTTGTATATACATTGTCTTGAGAATTGTAAAATGTGCCACCAAGACAGATGACTTGAAATCAGCAACAAGCCGGAGACCCTGTTCCCAGGAGGCAAAGTATTTGCCTTTCGCAGCTGGCACTGCAGCCCAACAGTTTCGAGAGAAGTGCCCAACCACCATGCAGGTCGCTTGATCACCAATCATTGCTGTAGCTGGGTTGAGAACATTGGGTCCTTCATGGTGTTGCTCTGAAAGCATTTGTCACGAAAGCTAGCGGTAGCTAGCTGGAGTTACTCTTGCTTCAGCAAGGGGAGGGGCGTCTGAGTCCAACACAGTGATTTTTCACTCGAACCCCCCCTCCTAAGCTCCCGGGGTCTCTGAAGCAGATGGTCACGGGCTTAAATCCTGCCAGGGCCGTCCCTCTGAAACTCTCTAGCTCAGGATGGGGCCCATCAAAAATTACAATCTTGGATGGGGCCCATACTTTTTACAGTAACCATCTTCTTTGGTTCAATTGTTTTACATCTCAAAGCGGCAGATTACATGTTGTTCGGATGGATCTCTTGCGCAATATGCCTCACCAGAGCATTGGGCTCGATAGAGTTCTTTCTCACTGAGGTCAACACTGTGTAGATTTGAGCCCCATCAAAAATTATAATTTTGGATGGGGCCCAAACTTTATCGCATACCCATCTTCTTTAGTTCAGACATTCCAAGCTCGCCAGAGCTTCTAACAGGGCTCGATAGAATCCTTTGTGACTCGAATCAATAGTTGAGGATTTGAGCCCCATCAAAAATCACACTTCTGGATAGGGCCCCAACTTTTTACAGTAACCATGTTCTTTGGTTCACGTTATATATCTACGAATGAAAGCTGAACATTACACCTCTTCTTTGCAACCGTCTTGGCTCCTTCCGACACCCCTGTGGATGAGTATCGTGTGACACTTTGGCAGTGAGCTCAAGAGCAGCTCCGGATACAATCCTCCCTATCGTTCAATGGCGGTGCCGGCTGCAAAGCCCCACATCACTTGCAGTTATGTCGTGTAAGTTTGCAGCTCTATATACCTCCATCCGATGTCACCAAGCACAGCATGCAACTGCCTTCTACATATGAACTTCTCCATTGTGCAGCTCCGGTGCCTGTATATGCATGTCTATCTCTTTGTGTCGATATCGTGTTCTGATTTTCTTTCTCTATTTTCTTTCTTCATATATATATATATATATATGCCTCTGTATGTATTTGTATATATATATACCTTGAGAACCAAAACCCGCAGAAATCTTAGGGTTTGAAAAATACCTGAGCTTTTCTGACAAAACCCAGGGTATTTTAACCCATTCTGAAAGTACGGGTTAGGTACGGGTTAGGTACGGGTTAGTACGGGTTAAGTACGGGTGAAGTACGGGTTCAAAATCAATACCCGAGGTCTTCAATCGAAAACCGAGGTTTTCTTATTTTTTCCGAAATACCTCAGGTTTTGCGTTGACCCGAAGAATTCTTAGGGTTTTGGTTCTCCAGGTATGTATATATATGTATATCTATATATGCGTATGTATTTTATATAATGTCAAGTCAGGATTAATCAACACCCCGTTATTAATCAACTTCCTCCTCCCAAAAAAAAATGCAATTTAAAAACAGGTGGTCCTCCAGGATTAATAACCACCCCCGATTAAAAAACCTCCAGTGCTGAAATCATTTTTTATCCAACAATTTTTATTTCCAATTCTATTTATATATTTCCATTTATTTTTTACATTTTTTTATCATCATTGTTTTACTTAAGGTTTAAGTTGATCATTGAAAATTTCAAAAAACAACTATTCCCCAAATGATCGGTTTTTAATTAAAATCTTTATAAAAATCCTCAGTTTGGATAGCTCCCAAAGGGTACCCCCCATGAGCCCATGTCCCCCATTAATAATAACCAGGGTTTGCCCCTGATTAATCAACCACCTTTCTGATCCATGAGATTTTAACAAATCCATTGGAATTCTATTAAGATCTAATTGACGTAAGCCATATCCAAAGTTTTATGGTTCAGAGTTGCTTCTTATTAAGGGAGGTTTAAGAAAACCAGTCAGAAGGTACCCCCCCTACCTTCTGGGGGGGGGTTATTAATCCGGTGTTGGCATTATGCCTATATCTGCATTTTTTTCTCTATCTTTCTCGCACGTTTCTAGCGCACGTGCTCCGCCCCAATTCTTTTCACCGCTGTTCCAGTTTCACTTCACACTGCCGCAGTTTCACTTCACTGCCGCAAAAAAGGCTCCGGAGACATGCGCATGCTTGCCACTTCCCTGCATGTTTCCAAGTTCAGCTCACCTATTTCCACATTCATGTGACCTTTAGCTTTCGTTCACCCCCCCCCTGGGCCTCAAGTTTTGTCCCCCCATAATTCGGCCTAGGGCACAGCTTGACTTTTTTGAACGACACTCTCTTTGCCGGGGTGCAGACCTAGCAGTCCCTGCAAGAATCAGTATAGGGCGGCAGGGCTCAACTGACCACAGCTGCATTGTGCAAGGTCATGCAACAACTCGCAGGTTTGGCCACGATCTTGGAAGATGAGTTAGGCACAAGGGGATGAGCGGAGGGCTTGTCTTGGGCATTCCTTGCTACACATGTTCCAACGTGTCCCAATTTAACAGATATGCAGTGATGTTTTGTGACGGTGTCCCTCAAAGGCCCAGCAAAGATCAAAAGGTGGCCCCTTCGTGCTGTGGCGAGGCCTTCGCCTGGCTGTCCCGCAATCTGCAATGGCCGCCTGTTACCCTCCACGCGCATCTTACAAAATGCACCTTGACAGCTACTTTCTGCACGGCCCCTTGGCATAGAATATGAATTGATGCAGGGGCAACCTCTCATAGACACTTTGGCATGCTTCATGGCCAGTCCTCAGTAATCCTCGCCTGGTAGCCTGGTAGTGGGTGTAGATACTTTGCGCAAGTCAAGTGATAGGCTTGCCAACGTTTAAAAACAAACTATAATTTATTATATATATATATATATATATATTTCGATTGCCCCGGTGACTGGTGACCGGTGACCCGCCAGGTTGCAAGGATGACATTCCGAGAAAAGTCACAGTACTTCTCTACTGCGCCTCGGTTGTGGGATCAGCTTGGTCGAGTTGCATTGTCCTTACCCCTGGCACAGGCAGCCGTAGAGACATAGCGCAGGCAGCCGTAGAGACATAGCGGCGCACTATGAAAAGATTGCTTCGTATTCGTGGCGTTGATCAAGATGACAAGACTATTGACCAAGTGACTAGGTGTGCGTGGTAAGCATCAATGTATAGCAAAGACCGCTTACAAGCACTGAAGCTTGTTGCGGAGGCACAAGTGCAGCATGATTCAGAAAGATGAGCAGCCGAGCCTCGATATGATCCAATTCCAAAGCTGAGGTAATCATGGCTGGGAGCCACGGCAAGGTGGTGAGCTGTGTGCTTGGGAGCCTTTTGATCAAGGACAGGGACCACATGAATTGCCAAGCCATCTGAGAATTTTGCTATCTTCCGGAAAAGCCCGGAAAGGGGAAAATGGCAAGCATGGATTTAAGTAGGCCCTCAATCATTACTAATCATTGGACATGCGGCATGGACTCTTGTCCGACAGAGCTCTGAATCATTTGTCTTAATCAAATCAATAGACAGACAGATTTGATAGCAGACAGTTTTTAAATTGCTCCCACTGCTGTGGGGGGCTGCAAGGCCGTGGTGTTTCTCAGCGGATTGAGCCCTTGGCTGGCCGACTGGTGGTTTTCATGTCAGAGGCTCGTTTTTCGCTTTGCTGCAAGGCCATCCAAAAGATCCAAAAGACCCAAAAGGGAGTTGAACGTATTCTTTCTCCCAACAAAAACAAACGACCATAGCCGTAGGTGACAGGTGTGCAGAGGCATGAATCCTGTGAACCATGTCTTGCAGGAGATCTGGCACGAGGTCTTGGAGTCCCACGGTGACCGCTATGCCCTGACTGTGTGGATTCATGACCGCGAGCGTGCACCATTGGCGCAGCTGTGAGGAGCATTGACCTGAATCTTGCATAATTTCATTTCACTTTATCATACTTGATCAATGGGAGATCCTGCAGTGATATTCTTTTCATTTCTTTGCAGTTTCAGCTACAGTAGGAGGGTGTGAGGCACAAGTCCTCCGCGAAGCGCAGCGTTTGCATCTGAAAAGAGTGAGGGGTCGTACTGAGCAGACATCCAGTTCTATCCGAGCTATATCCCAGCTGCGACAGTGGGCCAAAAATGTTGGCTAGCCTTCAATTACTGTAAATGATTTTGACCAAGTGGGCATCCTGGAGGGCAGCGTTCTTGCGTTGAAAATAAACCATTGCTGCTGTGACCTGTATGCTCGCTCAGGGTGGATCGGTTTAGCTTCGTCGAGGACCCTCGTACAGAACTCAGCTGGCAGATGACTGGACCGTGGTCATAGTAACGTAAACATGATTTGACCAAAGAACCAATGCCTATAGATCTTAGCTTGATCCTTGACCAACGTTTTCTGAGCTAACCGCTAACACCTTCTCTCAACTCAATGAAACTGACAGATATGGGAACAAGTGCTGCCAGATTCCTGTGGGGCATTGCAAATTATAAGATGGCTCCTTTCCAGATTTGGCAGTAAAGATCACATCATGTCATATCATATCACATCCATTCAGATCCATTTGCATCTAATTATTCAAATCCAATATTGCGTTTTGATTTTCTTTGATTGAATATGGTTGAGTTTTGCCCGCCAAACTTTCATGGCTAAATCCATCTAAAACCACAAGAAAACTTTCCACGTAGCCATGAGCAGCTTTGTCCCGGCCTGGCTGGTAATCCCACACTGGATGGTTTTGGAGCATCTCCCAACAGATGCAACTTGCAAATGAACCATACCACAACCATCCACATGCACTTGCAATTAAGCCCAGCAGTGCTTGGGAACCGCAAGATGACTAATATGACAACTGCATTTGGAGAATTCGGAGAATGAAATTGAGGTAACTGAACTAAGATTTCCAACTGTGGCGAAGGCTGGCGCTCACCGGTATTTTAATGTTCATGTTCTAATTTTTTGTTGGACGTGTTTTTTTGCTGCAGCAGGCTGGGACAGAAAAACAACTCCGCCCCACCACTCCCAACATCACAAGCAACCCACTAGCAAAATGACCAGCGTAATCACTCAAACTTGTGTTTTGGGCTTTGTTGATTCTATAGCGGTTCTTAATTAATGATTTCTTCATGTTTGCCTACAGTAGTAGTTCATAGTAGTTCTGGCGGTGACCCAATCATTAGGAAAACATCTAGTCACAAACAAAACCACTAAAACCCAATTACTGTATCTAGTTTTGTTTGGTATATCCCAGAGACTTCTTAGTTTTTTTTCTGAAGTGATTCCGGATTTGGTTCGCTTTCGCTCTCTGAATGAGATTCGAGGTTTTGGTCAGGGGTTTAGGGCATGAACAGAGTGCCAAAATACAGGCTAACAAGCCAGGCTATGAGGAACGTCGGTTGCCATCATACAGGGCCATGAGGATTGTAGATTGCCAACATGCATGGCAGAGCTGTAGGTTGCCAACATACAGGGCCGTGAGGCTGTAGGAGTCAGAGATCTTGAAAACTGCTTTGGGTATGCATGAGGCATTTCCTTTGGGGTTGGCTCCGACTTGTAGAAAACAAAAAACATAAAAACAAAAAACGGGTTCTGTTTGTGTCAGCATGGAACCAAGTACGGTTTCTTTCTCCATTTGCTTTGGACTAGTTTGCTGATCAGCCCTTGCAAAGACTAGAGCATCCCAACTCAACCTAGTGCTGCATGAAAATATGAGCAACCGCTTTCATTTGTACACATGTGCAATAGCCTTAGGGACCCCAAGATCAAGGTAGATAAAACGACGCTGGAGAATGGAAAACGAGGTTTGGGACATTCGGTCCTTGCAGTGTCTTCAAACAACGTTCTCGCTATGTATGAAGACCATGTGTATGATCACGCAAATCTAGTACTGTACGTTTTTCATTCTTTCTCCATGTTTTTCTTCCCTGCCTTTCCGACCCAGGTCCAGGCACACTTCGAAAGCAGCCCACCTTTCGAATGCAGCTGTTATCGGAACGTATGTCCAAGGCCCACCGGGCACATCGTAGCGTGTGGTTTGCTGATCGGGTTTTGGGCGGAGTGTCATATGGAGGCCGTTGGTTGCGGGTTTAACCGGTGATTTTTGGATAGTTTTGGTGGTTCGAGCTGAGCTTCAAGAGTCCTTTGTGCAAGGAGTGCCAGGAGCCCAGTCTCAGTTGGGCAATCAACTGTCTAATAAAGATACAGAGTTGAGATTCATTGCGGGTCTTTCCCATGCAAGGTGGGTTGCTATGTTTTTATTGAAGTGTTTTTTCCCCCATTCCAAGTCTGATGCCAGTCGCAAAGCGCTGGGGAGCTCCGAAAAGACAGGTGGCCTGCAAGCCGTGAATTCCGGGAAGCAGTAAGCGGTATTATGTATTAAACATATATATTTTAAAAATATATTGCGTTTAGAGATTGAAAAGATAGGCCAATGGTGTTCAGAAGGAAGCTTGCAGGGAAGGACAAGACCATGGATATCTATTGATGCTAGAGTTTGTTGACGTATATTGTCGTTCTTTGCCGGTTTTGTCTTGAATCAAGTGCAATAATTGATCTCGTGTTCTTCGATATACTGAAAGTTCAGAATCTTTCAGCTCTGTCAGCTAGAGTCGGCAATATCATGCAAGGTGCAATTCGTTGCCTGCACTGTCCTCTACACCTTCCTTCGTGAATCTTGGCCGCACAAGGCCAGGACCACAAGGGACATCTGCAATATTATGTCACATTTTGGACTCGGCGTATGTAATTCTCGCTTCTTTGCGACTCTTACAGTGCTCATCCCATTTGCATGGGCTGAAGAATTAAATTTATCATTTGACTCTGTTCAATCGTTGGTAGATTCTTCAGCGGAGTGTAGTGGCCAATGAACGCACTACTCCAGTTGTGCAGTCTGTGATCAATGTGAAAACACTAGGCTGCAACAGCCACCGCCCTAGTTGTTGCTTGAGGTCAAAGTCTTTGTGAAAATAGCCATGTTGAAGACGGGTGCAAATCACTTACAGTAGAAGATGATAGGAAAAGAACGTTTTCTGGGTGTTGTCCAGCATTGTTCACGTGACATGAAGCGCAGCCGCTGAACGCGCAGGCCGCCCATTGTTCGCTGATCTATCTTTGCCGCAGCTCTTTTGAGCTTGCACGGTCCACGCCAGGGTTGGTTGGGCAGCACATGGAAGAACAGTCCTTTCTCAGGAAGTATAGGCCAAGGCCGGCGAGTTTTCATGTGAACAGACTAGAGGTGGAATGGCCCGCAAAGTTTGCGGCTGTACCGGCCAGACCCTGGGGTCTACTTGCTGGGATGAATGTGGGAAGCCGAGGGCAAAATCTGCGAAGCAGATTGGAGGACCCGACTGTCCCAGCGTGATCTAGATTGGCAGACAAGGCAAAGGAGGGCATCCAAGGGCCACAAATCATAGCTTTGAATAAAGGCAGAATTAACTCTAGAAGCCCTGTTTGTTGACCAGCTCAATGGCCGCGTTCTGGTGTCTTAACAAAGCAGTTCCGTCTTCCTACAGCATTCAACCTTGAATTTTTATTCCTAAACACGAATGCACTCTAGACAGGTCCTCATTTTCTTTCGGGTTGCTGCGGGCATTTCGCCAGCGATGCTACGTGGGTTGCTAGCAGCCCGTTCAGAGCGCTGCATGAGAGGGCGCTGCTGTACTTTGCATTGGACTTGGGTCCAGAAAAACGTCGAGATGTTCAAATCATGTACCGAACCATCATCTTCGGCGAAGCATTTTGTTTGCGGCAGAAGCCGGTGCCTTTGCTGCCCTCATTCACCCATTGCCCGTGGCCAACTGAAGCCATTTGGACACCAATCAGATGACAACTAGGCTGTGAGCCACGCAGGAAGAACACAAGAATACCATGGAATACCAACCATTGTATAGACTGAGACATTGCTCCATTGAGCACTGCACCCTCAGATCTCTGGTGTGGCAAGCCATTTTGCATTTGAAAGAGCGGGCGACTTGTTTGACTGACCCTTGGCAGAATACGCAGAATGGAAGGAGGGACATGTCATAAGAAAAACAGCGGGATGGAGCTAGGTGCTAGGTCCTTAGGTGATACTACATGATATTACAGACTGACCTGCCACTTGTCGTTCCGACACAAGTGTTTGCTAAGGCAATGCCGAAGAGGAACGTAGCTCAAGGACACTCAGGTTGTGGTCAGGTTCCCATGGATTTACATCTGAATCTGGGAAGTGGCTCTTTGCTGATTTGCTTGGGTATGACACGTTCATAATGCCTGCTACTCTCTTACTCTCTCTCTCTCTCTCTCTCGCTCTCTCTCTCTCTCTCTCTCCCTCTCTCTCTCTCCCTCAGTGCCAGCCATAAGTAGCCAGAAGTAGCCAAAGTATCCACAAGTATGAAAGGAGTTAAAACATGTTAAAACAAGAGTTGCAAAGAATTAACATTTGTTTTAATTCTTGATATCACACATGGTCATATAGACCCTTGCCATCTATTGAACTTAGTTTTAATTCTCTGCAACAGAGTGACAGGACAGCGGTTTGAACCGGAGGTTTCATTCCTCATGTGCAGTTGTGCCATCCTGTGGAATTAACTCAGGATTTTAATTCTTTGTTACTTGGGTGAAGTTTTTGCATACCCGAAGGTAGTGAAATATAGCCCTGAGTTTATTCCCAAAGTCTTCTTGCAGATAAATCAGTTCTGGGTGCTTGGTTCACCACGCACATACACTAAAGATTTTGAACGTAAATGTGATTCCCAAATATGAGGTGGCACCTATCTTCAAGAATAAAAACTGGATTCTATTCTTTACAACTGTTTTCATTCTCTTTCAGATCCATGAGTCGTCATCACTCATGTCTCATTTTGTTTTGTGTTCATTAATCATTTGACGAAGTGGATGACGCAGCTGGCCTGCCAGGATCCAAGGAACGAATGGACGCCAAGGTGGTGAATGGAGAGGAAGAGGTGCAGAGCGCAGGGATAAATACATAATTAGAATGATAAATAGACGCGAATACTCCAAGCCCACCTTTACTGTAGCCTTTGGCTAGACTGGCTAGACTCCTGGAGATGGCGACGGAGGGAGAGAGAGAGAGAGAGAGAGGGGGGGGGGGGGACTCAGAGCAACACGGAAAGGTTCTCAGCATTTCTTGGCCAGGTGATTGTGGAGTGCTCCACATCAGCTGCGTCGCAAGAGTTCCAGGATGGCAGCTGCAGGGGGGGGGTAATTTGGCCGCTATGCTCAATCTTGGTTTTGGAGGGGGCTAGGCAGCAAGAGAGAATGGAGTAATATGCAACTTGTTCATGCACCTTGACCAGCGAAACTGCTTGCCATTGCGAGAGCTACAAGAATTACACACACATATATAATCATATATATATATATAATTTCGATTAATTTTGACAAGATACATAGTTTGACTATCTGATGATTTCAATATAAATGATTCAGGGATAGATGGGAAATAGATGAGTGTGGGCAGACAGTAAGTTTGCCCTTTGTCGCTGTGGGCTTGGAACAAGTCTGGACCGCGGAGAACCATTTGATAACATCTTCTCACACCCATTGACATTTGATGACATTTGACAGGTTCAATTAACATTTCATATTGATTTGTGTCGGTGACGTTTGGGCTCTGTATACCCCCAGCGCAGCGGGCATGATGGGCATCACTTTGCAACTTCCCAGGACGGCAGCCAACACGAAAGTGAGGAGGGCCAAGAAGTCAGGTGCCGAAAGCGTCTGGCACCTGAACTGGGGTTGGTTCACCATGTTGGCTCAAGCGTTGGTTGGGTCAAATACTCTGGTATACTGAGTATACTACGCCTTCCCTGATTCAAATATTTCAGCCAAGAATGCTGACATACCTCAAGATTTTGTGCACCAGTTTCTTGCAAGCCAGTTGCGCGGCACCAGCATCTGATAGTGAATAACTCAGCGCCCTGTCCTCTCCAAGCATCTCCAAGACTGTATCCCCAAGGCTGGGCAGACGTGGAGTCGGACGATGAGGAGGAACACTTCCCCAGCTTCTCAGGTGAGAAGAGTTTCGTGGCGCAGCCGCTTGGCCAAAGCTTCTGTCACGCTGGCACTTGTAGCAATTGCTTTGGTTAAATAGCTTAGACATATCACCTTAATTACATGGTACAGGCAGTTTCAGTAAGAAAACGAAGGAAAAGCAGAAGGGTCTTGCCGCTTCTGTGTTTGTGCCATGCCTGCCGCAAAGGAAGGGCGTGGAAAATGCTGATGGGAAAGAAAGCACGGATGAAACTGCAGAAGAAAAGGAAGAAGAGTGGCAAGAGGCCCACAAATCACACAGCCATGCGGAAGTGGTGGGTTCATTTTCTGGAACGCCCGCCGCTTTGCATGCAAAGGTAGCAGACATCCTCAACATCGTTTTTTCTGTTAAGTTTCCATGCAATGTAGTATATAATTACATGTACATACTGAATTTAAACATCACTTGCGGCCACCTCCCGGTCTGTCCAGGTTACTGCAAAGAAGAAGCAGCAAAAACCCCTCAGCCAGCTGGCAGCACCTCAAGAAGCACCATCGAGCAGGTGGAAAAGACGGGGTGGGGAGGGGTCTGCACCGTGTCAATGTACGTATCTGTGGGAGCCCATGAAACAGCCAAATAAGCGCTCATTGAAATATGTTTATGTACATGACTTTCACCATCTTTCACCTATGGGATCACATTTGCAGTGAGGACAGGCCGTGAGGGTGGCCAACGTGCAGCACGCCGTGGAGATAATCGAAGGCGCAAGGACAAGGAGTGACCTCAACATCCTCAACATGCCAACATGTCTACTTTGAATGGCTTCGGCACTTGGCCAACCTTGGGCCAGTTGTTTGATGTTTCTTGATGGATTGACCTTGGCGAAGCGGTCAGATAGCGGGACCTCTTCCATCAGCACCAGATCATTCCAAAAGGGTCTTCACACGCGAAGTGTAAATCGCATTAATCGTTTTTGAATTTTTGAATGTGTTTTTTGTTTCGCAGTCTCGTTTTTGTTTGGAGACCCTGGCAGAACTGGTGAAGTTCCGTTGGGGCTTGCAAGGATGGTAACGATGGCAAGGATGGAAAGGACAGCAAGGATGGCAAGGACGGGAAGGAGAAGAAGGAGCCGAGGCCCAGATGTTTCGGCAGTGTTTAGTTTGACTTGGACAGAAGGTATTGGACCATTTGGATCGGTTTGGGGCCAATTTAGGGCACTTTATAGGACTTTTTGCAGGCACTGTAAGATACTCGTCGCGTGTTGAGTGCAGATATGATTTACGTCTCTGAGAGCCCCACAATTGGCAGATGCTACGCTGGATCATCTTGGAGAGCTTATGAGAGCTCAGCATTTTACCTCGATCGCCAGGCGAAGGGGTGGTGCTGACAGAGGTCAAGGGAATGGCGGAGTACGCCCGCGTCGAGGACGTGATGCAGGAATGTGCCGCCCCATGAAATACCGCAAAGAACCCTTGAATCAACCGATGGGTGGTACCCCAACATCATCCAACATCTTGGATCACTGGATCATCCTGGCTTTGGGTTTTCCATAGTGCAGCACAAAGACACATTGGCAGATGAACAATGTAACCATTCGAGCCTTGCATGTCCTCGCATTCTCAGAGTACCCCGTGCGAATTGGCCCCTCACAACACCTTCGAGGAGATGGAGAGAACAACGAGCGCAAGGCAGGGCGCACGCGTAGATGACCAGTTTTCCATGTCATGGTGTGATACATGCACCGGCAGGGAAGTTTAAGTTTAACTATGTTGTTGATAGCTAGTTCGGATAGCTCGGGCAGGGCAAAGGCTCCACATTTGACTCACACTCCCTGCAAATCAACAAGGGCGACTTGTAGCTGACCCATGACCATTCAGGACAACCACCCACAACGCTCGAGTGAAAAGAAGGAGGCCCCAAAGGAGATCGCATGGCGGAAGAAGAGCACAGAAGAGGTTGGCGGATCATCCGCCTACGTTCATGGAATACCCTTCACCTTCAAGGAATTTCAACGGATATACGATTGGGCCGCCGCTAGTTCCCGTCAAGTTCAAAATTCGAGAAACAACAACGACGTGCTCCAATCTCAACATGAGCTGAAGTGCTCCCAAACATTACAGCTGGGGATGGGTGCATCCTACTATAACTATAATTATATATACTATATGATATGTTTTGGGGGTTTGGGGGCGAACATACATTTACAAGCTACAGGGCTGAGGCGGCTGACGCTCATGAAACTGCTACTGAGTATCAGCTGCCATCAGCCGCATCGACTTGCCGCATACAGCACCATTACTAGAATGACATGGTGGATAACTGATCAGTTGTTTCGCTTTAAAATAGTTTCAATAAATCCACCGTGAAATTCGATCGGCCACACAGGCTTTGCAAAATGATGACATTCGACCCCTTTCTGAGTCACGAACCTTAATAAAACACTAAACGGCAAGAAACAACATCCTTTAGGTGGGTTAGCAGTGTGCCCCATTGGGCACCAGACTTAATGGGTCCTCAAGGTAGAGATGTCGAGGGTATTGTACTTTTATCATTTAATTTTGAATTATATAACTCCACGAACAGACCCTCTCTATCACTGCAAGCGCTTGACAACATGCGCCAGGCAGACAAGCCAAAGGAGGTCAAAGAACCCGAAAAGGCGCAGATGGGTGCCTGCTGATTGCAATGCTGATTGCAATAGGAGCCGCAGTGCCGTGTTGGTGCCCTGGAGTGAGACTCCTGAGAGCTGAGCCATGAAGGCAAACAACGAGGCTGAATCGAAGACAGAGGAAGAGGCAGCTGGAAGATCGTGGAAGATTGGCTTGGCAGATCGGAAAGTCCATGAAAGTCCAGCGCGAAAATCTTCACAATAATAGACAATAACATACAAAATACACAATACTAACACGAAAGCTAAACCATTCCAAATCATTCTAAGCCCGATTAATTAAACCGGCCTGTGCAACAGTCACTAGGTCCTCGTCGGAAACCCGTCTTCGAATCCCTTGCCGAGCTGATTTTATATATAGATATAAGATATAATCTATGTAATATATATATATATAATATAATATATATGTGTGTGTGTGCGTCTGTGCGTGTGTTTCAGTATTTGGTCAAGCGGCTTTGGATGATGCCACTTGTCCCGGTTATGGCGTTCTACAACTACAGTTATATTAAAGGAGGCTAAGAGAATTTGATTGAATGTCACACTACCGATTCCAACAGAGAGGTTGTCATTGTCATATTTGTGAAGATCCCAAGAATTTTTGACCATTCCACATACTGCACCCCATTCTTGGGTCAGCAAAGCGGCTGCCTGATTCTGGGAGGCTGGGCGCGAGAGGGTCCGCGATCATGGACGAAATCGCCGATCAAAGGAAGAACAGCATTTGGGCTGAAATGGGTTGAACTGTTCACGATCGGTGGAGTACTGTGTGTGTGTGTTTCTTGAATATTGAGTCATTGAGGGCCCAGTAAATCCTTGGCATCCTTCCTTACTATGGTAGGTCGATTTTCGAGATACAAAACCAAGCAATGAATCCAGGCCTGAGAATTGGATGTCCAGACTGAGCAAGATAAAGTGATGTTACAAAACAGTCCTGGATCGAATTTCCACTACTCGAGGTAGGACTTGAGGCCACTACAGTACATTTCTGTGGTATTGTTCCTTCCATTTTGATCCATTTTGTGGATTTGTGCGGCTGGACGGATTTTCCCATAGCGTAGACGCTGCATAATGCTGCATATGGCACCTCCAAATTGGACCGAAGATGACTGAAGACATTTTGTCGTTTGTTTTGATTCCACTTCAACCCCAAAAAAAAACTCAAAATGTCATTTCACCACCACAGACGGGATGGATGAACGCATGCTTTCCGTACACGTTTCAAAAACTGCAAAAATCAAGCCACTTTGAAGAAGAACTCAAACAAAAAAATAACCCAATGCTTTTCTGATTCTGATGGACAATTCAAACCATTTCAAGAAGTCGCCGTCACAGCCTACAAAATGGATCAAAATGGCGCTTGAGAAATATGTGGGGTCCAGACTTGGATCGGTGAAATGCAGATACCCAATTTACAAAATGACAATTAGAAAATTCAACTTTGTTTTATACCAACATACATTTTATGTCCAACATACATTTTATGTTGTGTTTTTTTGATTTGTTTTGGCCGTTTTGATGAATACGCACTGTTTTATATTTGGGAGCATCCTAGAGCAGCACCCGGCTTTTGGGCTGCATTTGTGTGGCCAACTTGTTTTTTTTGGCTTGAAAGTTCACCGTTTCCATTTTGCACCTCAGGTAACCGGTCCCATATCATTCATATCTTAAGACTCACAACTCCCCCCCTTATTTCAACAAGATAACGTGGCCAGAAACATGCCTTCTGTTTTTGCAGCAGATTTGAAGCTGGTGATTTGAATGCCCTTCATCGATATTTGCTTCAATAGCTCCCACCCAATGCACGGCTCCCCTCCATGTCTACGGTTGGAGCGACACCACGCCACACAACACCTTGTCACATGGAATTTATATTTCAAGACACTAAGATAGAAGATAGTCTGTAAAATATTCAAGAAATGAGGTCCCAAAATGATGTTGCAAAAAAAAATCTTGGATATGCAATGTCTTCTATTTGAAATTGACTATAAAACCGCGTTTTTTCCCCCTCAACCCCTAGCACCCTAGATTTTCCTGTTTTTTTACAAAAAAACGCTTCCAAATCCAGCTTTTTGAAGGTCGGGTATTGAAATCGTTTTTTTCTCGACCTTTGACGCCCTAGATTGTCAGATTGCCATAGTGTTTCCATCGTTTGCAGTTTTTAAAGGTTGTGCAGAGGCAATTTTTCAAATAGAAGATATTCATGTTTTTTTTCTCCATCAAGACAACACCACGAAAATTAGTATTTTGGAATATCTTCTATTTGAAACGGGGGTTGTTGATGGAATATCTTCTACTTGAAAATTCTGCCATCAGCTCTTGTGAAATTTTGGGATCCCAAAGAAAGCTACTTGTTTCGAGGTTTTTGGCTGTTTTCCTCTCTCATCCACCCAAAACCTAAAGTTGCAACAATGTCCTCCCAAAGACCAAGTCAAGGTCCTCTTACTTGGATCGTCCAGTTTGACTGTAAAAACTGCGCAAATACCACCAAAATTTGGCAATTCCAGTCCAGATTCCATTTGACAGATTTTACAGGCAAATTTACAGTCCAAGAGCAACCTGCTGCGATTGCACCAACTTCTATTTCAAATGGCTCCGGGCGACCCCTAAATTTGCAACTTCTATTCGAACAAATCGGCGAATGTCTTCTATCTTAGTGTCTTGAAATATACTAATATATACACTATCTAACTTCTTATGTGCGTCTCACTTGCCTCTGGATCACAGCTCCTTCATCGTTGTTGCGTGATCATGAGAGAATTTTTACAGCATCAGATTCCTATGATGCCCCAAAGACTTGGTTTCCCAATTTGCAGGCGTGGGCTGATTTGAGTCCCAAAGCAACCCTAAGGCAAGACTCTCAGCCAAAGCAGCCACGTCAAAACTCTGGTGTGGGGCCCTGGCATTCCATTTCACGTTCACATCGTAGTGCTTCCCAACCTACAGCAAGCAACAAGGCAGCAATGTGTCAAGACAACAGCAATGGATCCAGGACATTGCTGGCAGTTGGTCCCTTCTGCGCTATACAATGGCTCAATGATTGGCATGATTGGCATGATGCTGCTTCGAACTCCCTTTTTGGTTTGGGCTTTGTGACTCCTGCGCCACAGTGACAAAGTGAGTTGTGTCATGTGTCACCATCAACCCTGCAAGGTCGAAACGATGGAAATCGTCGCGGTGGCCGTGGCGAACGGGGCGGTCGCAGGTGTGGAAGAGCATTGACAACACCTCGCCGTGAGAAGAAAGAAAACACATAGATCACTTAGATCACCGTAAAATGGCATTGGATGCGCCAAGATGCACCAAGGTGCACCTACCCAACCCACGCACTGAGATCATTCCACCCAACACGCAACTCCACGAAATCACATATAAACCATATTCATTCCATATTCATACATACATACATACATACATACACAGAGAGAGATATATATATATATAAGTTCTATATATATCCACCCGATTCATTCCACCCCGCCCGTTCCCTTTCGCCTCTCGCCTGGCACTACTGGCGCCCATCTTTTCCTTCGCTTTTGTTCACCAACCCTTGGGACTCAAGTAGATGATGGGTTGCAGCGCAACACTTGTGTCCAGGTCTGGAAATGGTGGCGGTGGCGGTGGCAATGGTGGAAACAGTGGAACCGGGAACCGGAACAGGGGCCCCACTGCTGAGGACAGGCTGGCAATGCAAGATACAGCCGACAATGTACTGAAGCTGCATCACTTTGTGAACTTATCACCTATGGTCGCTTATGTTGGAGTACAATTTTGGTCCCGTGAAAGTTTCTGGGCAGCAGGCGCATCATGACCATCATGGCATTTTTATAATTATGTTCGCGCCAGGATTGGTTCGCCAGCCGCATGCAAGCGGTGTTTGGGCACAAACCTGGTTGAACATATTCTGTGAATTTCTGTGAGTAGGAAATTGATGAATTTCACAACCAACTAGCCAACTTGATTCAACGCTCCTAACTTAATTGTTGTGTAGTGCACGTATCCTAGGCAAACTAGCTGAGCACCTTGGAAGCCTGGTCAAGTATGCTATTGGGCCCAGTGAATCAAGAGCCAGAGCTCCCACTTGGAAGTGGGTGAGTACAGCATCCAGGTCAATTGAAATCTATGGATCCAAACTGCCCAGTGAACGCCGGCAATAAGCTGGTTCTCAGGTGGCGTGATGCCCTGGGCCGTTTTCTCAGATGATTTGTTGAGCTTGAGTTTGCATGTGTTTGTTATGCTTTTGTTATATGCCTTGGTCTGTGGCTTAGAGATTTCCTCCAGTCCCTCATTATCAGACTGTGCAGATGATCGCAGCTGAGACATGCTGAGACCATGAATTTCCCTCAAACACCTGAAACGGAAAAAGCGTTCAGGTCTCGTGGTCTCCTTTATTCCTTTTCTGTCATTTGCGGATTAGAATTTCTTCGAATTCTGCGTCAAATATCATCAAATTGCATCCCTCAATCCCTCAATCCCTCAATGCGCTTCGCCGAGAGACCTTTTCAAGGGCCTTAGAAGGTTCATCGGGCTCCAGACATTTTTAGCACTGGTTTGTTGTGAGTGCTGCTCTCGTCCACTACTGTAGTAGCCCTTGTGGTTGATTTCGACATGGCCCGCGACCAACCTAAGGTGCCTTCGGCCCTCTGGAGATCTACGGAACATGATCAAATCTTTTGAACGTTTGATGGAGTTGATGCGCAGTGTTAGAGCCTGCGTGAATCTGCACTGATCGCAGCAAAATCATCCAGAATCCAAAGTATTCCAAAGTCACGAAGACAGCAGAATCATCTTTTGCTTCAGCTGTGGGGCTCTACAATGCCAAGAGGCTTATATATGTCGATTTGATTTGATTTGATTTACTGGATTTTGCCTTCACGTTGATTTGCGCATGGCACCACAGAGTTCGGTAGAGTTTGGGGGTTGGATTTCATGCGTTTCACGTGGGGTTGCTTCAACACACAGGTTGGCCGACCTTTGGGCGGCTTGGACCAGCCCCCAGACTAACTCAGTCGACAGAATATGAGCAGGCCCCGCGCATCACAATGCGGTGGGGTTGTGCGTCACTGTTTGAAGGTGATTCGCTGAGGTGATTCGCTGACTATATCATGCTAGCATTTTTACCGAGACAAACTCTGCCTGGCAACTTCACAATACTGTCAGCGAGTCTGACTTGCGGGCCCCGCGTGTTCTGAGCTGGTGCTTGAAAAGCAGGCACTACAGGCCAAGCACAAAGGCCGTGTGGATAGCGGCGATTCTTCTGGAAAGTGTGTGCGTGTATGCCTGCTGGGTGAGTGCTGCAAAGTGATGATTACACATGATATCATATGAGTAGTCTTGCATGAGAACGCTGAGAATCTGAGGCCGTCATGAACAAGGAGCCTTTCAATGCCTTTCATATATCTTAAAGTGACATGAACTGACACACGAGAGGTCTAGCTTGGCCGGGAGAAATCCAACACGTAGTTGAGTATCCACATGCTATTTGTGCACAGACAGGCATGACCAGCTTTGTTTTCAGTTCACGAAGGTGACAGCAGGGGCTGAAGCGCTCACCACGCTGCAGGAAGCATCCAGATGCTAGGTTCCCGCCGAAGCGTCCCCACTGACCCTTCAGTGAGACGCTCCAAAGTGAAGCTACACCCTTGTGAAGCAGGATTATCATCCCATATCATCCCCTATCATCCCCTTTTCTGTTTCAGCATGTGACATTTGTGAGGTGTGTGTGTGTGTTGTGGTACATGGAGTGAGCTGATCGGGGGTGCAGCCTCCCAATCTCGTTTTTTTTCCGGTTTGGAAGAGGGACTGGGTGCTTAATCGCGAACGATGCGAAAGTAATCGTCCTAGTTTTCAAAGATTCAGCCTTGTGCCAGCGTCACGTTCAAGCACCTGCTTAGGGATAGATTGAACCATACATCAGTCACCATCAGTCTTCTTTCATCAGGAAGTGATCGTTATTCCACAGCAGGTCTGTAAATCCCCTACTAAAGTTCCTATTTGTCACCAGAAGTTGCTGTGCAACTGGTCGATCTTCCCAACTTGATACCCTGATTGCACCGCATTGGATGGATGCAACCTAATGAAACCATATGATGACGACATACCACCAAAGACCGGCCAAGTGGTGCAAACTGCGGTTCTGGTCACAGCGAAGTAGAAGCTCCGTCAATTGGAATCCGTTTGCAACGTGCCCAAAAGACGGCCGTGCAGCTCACATACAACTCTTCTTCTGAGAAGTTCACTTCTCACCGGCCAGATCGTCTGAGTGTGTCTCAATGTGTTGGGATCCTGCCAAGTGTACATCTAGAATCATCTATATATAAATACATGGAGATCCCAAGTTTAAGACAGCGCTCATTGATTGTGAAATCCATTCCTGACGTGCGGCGTGACAGTTTCAGCGCCGGCGATTTTTCGCTTTCGGTTCTCTGGCGTTGAAGGCCGCTACAATCATCATGAATCATGACAATATATTCATGGGCAAAGTGATATGCCTCTTGTCATCCAGCCTGTTTGGAGCAACAAACGCCCCAATGCATAAGCCAACGTGCTGAAACAGTGCAGCTTTGGCCTGCCTTCGCCTGTGGGACTGAAAGATATTGGAAGGACTAGTGCCAGCCTTGGGCAGGTAGCTAGAACCAGATTATAGATGCCTGATCCCACTGTGTGCCGCCAGGGCCCCAATAGATAGCAAAAGGGATGCTCATGACTTCATTTATTGACAAGTAAAATGTATTAAAATGTGACATTTGACATGAATGGATATTGGGACACAAACTGTGGTGATGTGCCAAGTGCAGCGCTGGCGGTTGGGGCGAGACACGAGTTCAATGATTGTGGGGAATGGCTCAGCTATGAGTGAAATTGCAAAGTATGGAGTCTTTGTGTTTCCGTATGGCACATCCGAGTATCAACTTTTGCACACATCCACATCATCCACTGATATCCACCATGTTTTTTCATGTCTTTATGCTTTTGTTTGGGACCATTTTGAGTCATAGCCATTTGGTGCGCTGCAGCCACCACCGCCCTGTGGGCATAGACATCGACACTGCGCCGCTGCGGGAGACTTTGAACCCGCCAACGCTCCAGCGGCATCGGTGCGCTGTATTCATCCAGGCTGATCCACTCGCAGATCTGGGAAGAATCTGGAAAGGATACAGACGAATGAGATCGAATGAGAACGACTGATATATTTAGAGATTTGGAAGGGTTTTGAGGCTGAGATTCTACGCTGCACACTGTTTTGCTGGGTTTTGAGCTCAATTGCATCTGCCATGAGGCATTGATTATTAGAAAGGCAACAGCATCAGCATGCAACCGTTTAGCAACCGTCTTTCAAATTCTTTCAAGCTTATTGCTTTGATGAACTCAAAGAGTGTTACGCAACTATCAGTTTGAACCAAATGTCAAAGCTTGATAGATCTCTCTGGATGTCGGCAGCTTCTAGACTAGACTTTTTCCAAATTGGCTGAATTTCACTGAGCCGGGTGGCAGGTTGTCAAGAGCACATGACACGTACGTTTGAACCCATTCAATAAAACACAAGGCCACAACACTGGCAGACACCAACAGGCTTTGATGCTGTTTTATTGTCAGTACTGTATCTTGGCAACATTGGAAGCATGCGATACATTGATGTTTGCGTTTCTGTGTGTGTGTGCGTGGGTGGGCATGGTTGGGTCCAGTGTGTTGGGGGGGGCTCTGGCGTTGCTTTAGTGTGGACATGTTAGAATGCTAAAAATGTGCACTTGGCAACTCCTATCCAAAGGTTCTGTGAGCTGATATTGTCTCAGGCTCAGAGTGCTGAGTCCATAAAAAGCTGTGCCACATCACTGAAGGCAGTTTTGGTGGGCAGTCGACCTTAATCAACATTGCTTTGATGATGGCCGTCACTTTCAGTGCATTGTGACATCGCTTGAAAGAGCCCCTGAAGCCGCTGGTTTGTCACAGCATGGACTCATCTCCTGAGCTGTTCGGCTGAAAATGTTGCTTACGCTGCGGTCCACTGCCCTGACAGCAGGAACATCATGAGATTTTATCAGATGAGCTGAGGATCCTCTTGCGCTCCCCCCAAACGAATTAATTCCAGTACCCTGTCACTCAATGCCGGATGCAGCGCTATGACTTTGCAAGCCAGGGGAATGCTGGTGCCACATATTTGCTTGTAGATTTTGATCTTGATTATCAATGGTCACGAAAGCCAGCCGCTAGGCTAGGCGAAGTTCCTTTTGCGAACAAAGTGAGTCATAGGGGGTCCGGAGGTAGAGCGTGCCAGGAGGTGGCAAAATCACGGAATTAGGTGCAGTGGGAGGGGTGTAAATTGGAACTTTTTGAGGGTTATGTACCAGGTGGCAATTGACGGTGGGGTATCGATTCCCCCCTGGTCCGTCCTCCGAGGTGCATTTGGGGAGACTGGAATGGAAGTGTAAAATTATGGAGAAAACCAGTAAAGCCATGGAAAAACAATGGAAAAACCGAGCAAAACCATCTGAAAATGTGGTAAACCATGGAAAAATGAAGTAAAACTAAATTGGAGTAAAAATCATGGAAAAATCGAGCAAAACCCTAGCAAAATTGAGCAAAACCATGGAAAATTCGGATAAAACCACGGAAACATTGAATAAAACCAGGGAAGAATCGAGTAAAACCATGGAAAAATCTAGTAAAACCATGGAAAAATGGAGTGAAACGTTGGGAAAATCGCGGAAAATGGTTTGCCGTCAGAGGTGCATTTGGGGAGGCGTTAGAACACTGGAATCGAAGGGAGTGCCTAAGCAGATTCTGTCAGTAGTTGGGCTTGTTCTTGTCGACTTGTATTTGTTGGGCTCTGATGTGGGACAATTATGAGAAAAAAGGCATTGCTTGATGGTCCGTCCTCGGAGGTGCATTTGGGGAGGCGATCGAGAGACTGGAATCGAAGGGAGCCAGAGGAAAAGGCATTGCTTGATGGTCACAAGGATTAGAAGCAACTTCTGCCAGTAGTTGGGCTCCGATGTGGGACCATTATGGTCGCAAGGATTAGAAGCAATTTCTGTCAGTTACGATGCTTTGGGAAAGATTGGAATAGAAGGGAGCCAGAGGGAAAGGCATTGCTTGGAAAGGTTGCGGAAGGATGTGGATGAGATTGTGCTCGTCGACTTGTATTTGTTGGGCTCCAATGTGGGACTATTATGGTCGCAAAGATTAGAAGGAACTTCTGTCAGTATAGGATGCTTTGGGAGAGACTGAACAGAAGGGAGTTAGAGGAAAAGGCACTGCTTGAGGAACTTCTGTGGAACTTCTGTCAGTATAGGATGTCGACGAGAGTGTAGCCATCTACTTGTATTTATTGGGCCCCGATGTGGGACCATTATGAGGAAAAGGCATTCCTTGATGGTCCGTCCTCGGAGGTGCATTTGGGGAGGCGATCGAGAGACTGGAATCGAAGGGAGCCAGAGGAAAAGGCATTGCTTGGAGGTCACAAGGATTAGAAGCAACTTCTGCCAGTAGTTGGGCTCCGACGTGGGACCATTATGGTCGCAAGGATTAGAAGCAATTTCTGTCAGTTACGATGCTTTGGGAAAGATTGGAATAGAAGGGAGCCAGAGGGAAAGGCATTGCTTGGAAAGGTTGCGGAAGGATGTGGATGAGATTGTGCTCGTCGACTTGTATTTGTTGGGCTCCAATGTGGGACCATTACGGTCGCAAAGATCAGAAGGAACTTCTGTCAGTTTAGGATGCTTTGGGAGAGACTGGATAGAAGGGAGTCAGAGGAAAAGGCATTGCTTGAGGAACTTCTGTGCAACTTCTGTCAGTATAGGATGTCGACGAGAGTGTAGCCATCATTAGCCATCTACTTGTATTTATTAGGCTCCGATGTTGGACCATTATGGTCGCAAGGATTAGAAGGAATTTCTGTCAGTATAGTTGGGCTCCGATGTGGGATCATTGTGGTCGCAAGGATTTGAAGGCCAGTAATCGATGCTATGGGAAAGACTGGAAGGTTGCCGGAGGATGTGGGTGAGATTGTTCTCGTCGACTTGTATTTGTTGAGGTTCGATGTGGGACCATTGTGGTCGCAAAGGTCAGAAGGAACTTCTGTCAGTATAGGATGCTTTGTGAGAGTGGAATAGAAGGGAGCCAGAGGAAAAGGCATCGCTTGAGGAACTTCTGATGAACTTCTGTCGGTATAGGATGTCGACGAGAATGTAGCCATCTACGCTTATTTATTGGCCATTATGGTCGCAAGGGTTAGAAGGAATTTCTGTCAGGACAGGTGGGCTCCGATGTGGGACCATTATATGGTCGTAAGGGTTGGAAGGAACTTTTCTGTCAGTAGAGGTGGGCTCCGATGTGATTGTGGTCGCAAGGATTAAAAGGAACTTCTGTCAGGATGTGGACGAGAATGTACTCGTCGACTGGGGTTCCGATGTCGGACCATCATGGTCGTAAGATGTCGTAAGGATTAGAAGCAACTTCTGTCAGTATACGATGCCGTGGGAAAGACTGGAATAGAAGGAGTCAGGGGAAAAGGCATTGCTTGGAATTGTCGCTGGAGGATGTGGACGAGACTGTAGTGGCCGACTTGTATTTGTTGGGTTCTTCTGTCGGCACGGGATGTGAAATCAGCAAGCTTTGGAAAGGGGTGTTAACATAGCAGAAGATGCGACTGCTGCGTCGGCTCCGTCAATGCTTTTTGCATTTTTTTGTGAAATTAGGAAGCTTTGGAAAGGGGTGACGAAAATATGAGGTGAGGAGGGCAGAGATAAGGGTCCGTGAATGGAGGCGCAGTCGCTATGGAGAAGAAACTCCTGTCGGTATAAGATGTGAAATTAGGAAACTTTGGAAAGGGGTGATGAAAATATGAAAACATGAGCGTAAGGATCCTTAAGTCTGAGGGCGAAAAGTTTGCGGGTGAAAAGTCTGTGGGTGAAAAGTCTGTGGGTGAAAAGTCTGTGGAAGAAGAGTCTCTGGATGACGAGTCCCTGGGTGAAAAATATGGGTGCAACGTGTATGGGTGAAAAGTCTGTGGGTGAAAAATGTGACAAGGCTGTGCGTGAAAAAGTCTGTGGGTGAAAAGTCTCTGGGCGAAAAGTGTGTGGGTGAAAAGTGCGCGGGTGAAAAGTCCGTCGGTCAAAAGTATATGGGTGAAACGGGTATGGGTGCAAAGTCTGAGGGTGCAAAGTCTGTGGGTGGAAAGTCTGTGGGTGAAAAGACTGTGTGCGAAAAGTGTATGGGTGAAAGTCTGTGGGTGACAAGTATATGGTTGAACAGCCTTGGGCGTGAAAAGTATATGGGTGAGAAGTATATGGGTGAAAGACGGTGGGTGAAAAGTCTGTGGGTGAAAAGTATATGGGTGACAAGTCTGTGGGTGAAAAGTGTGTGGGTGAAAAGTATGTAGGTGAAAAGCCTATGGAAAAAGACTCGCTGGGTGAAGAGTCTCTGGATGAAGATATATAAGTGAAAAGTCTGTGCCTAAAAAGTCTGTGGGTGAAAGGTCTGCGGGTGATAAGTCTGTGGGTGAAAAGTGTGGGTGAGAGGTTTATGGGGTGAACAGTCTGTGGGTGAAAAGTCCGCGGGTCAAAAGTATATGGGTGAAACAGGTATGTGTGAAAAGTCTGAGGGTGCAAAGTCTGCGGGTGAAAAATCTGTGGGCGAAAAGTGTATGGGTGAAAGTCTGCGGGTGAAAAGTCTGCGGGTGAAAAGTCTGCGGGTGAAAAGTCTGTGGGTGAAAAGTCTATGGGTGAAAAGTCTGTGGGTGAAAAGTTTCTGGGCGAAAAGTGTATCGATGAAAAAGTACATGGACGAAGAAAAGTATATGGGGGCAAAGTCTGAGGGTAAAAATTATATTGTTGAAGAGTCTCTGGGTGGAAAATCTGGGGGTGAAATGTATATGGTTGAGCAGTCTGTGGGTGAAAAGTATATGGGTGAAAAGTCTGTTGGTGAAAAGTATATGGGGGGAACAATCTGAGGGTAAAAAGATGTAAAAAGTACATTGGTGAAGAGCCTTTGGGTGAAAAGCCTGTGGGTGAAAAGCATGTGGGTGAAAAGCCCGTGGGTCAAAAGTATACAGGTGAAACGGGTATGGGTGAAAAGTCTGAGGGTGCGAAGTCTGTGGGTGAAAAGAGCGCGGGTGAAAAAAATGTGGGCAAAAATGTATTGGTGAAAACCCCTGGGTGAAAATTATATGGTTGAAAACTCGAAAAATATAATATATATATATATTATATATTATATATGTGAAAGTCTGAGGGTGCAAAGTTTGTGGGTGAAAAGTCTGTGGGTGAAAAGTTTGTGTGCGAAAAGTGTATGGGTGAAAGCGTTTGGGTGAAAAGTATATGGTTGAACAGCCTTGGGTGAAAAGTATATGGGTGAAAAGCCTGTGGGTGAAAAGTCTGTGGGTGAAAAGTTTGTGGGTGAAAAGCCTGTGGGTGAAAAGTCTGTGGGTGAAAAACCTGTGCAAGAAGAATCTCTGGGTGAAGAGCCTCTGGGTGAAAAGTATGCGGGTGAAAAACTTGTGGGTGAAAAGTATATGGGGGAAAAGTCTGTGGGCGAGAAGTGTATGGTTGAACCGTCTGTGGGTGAAAAGTATATGGGTGAGAAGTATGGGTGAAAGACTTCGGGTGAAAAGTCTGTGGGTGACAAGTATCTGGGTGAAAAGTCTGTTGGTGAAAAATCTTTTGGGGAAAATAGGGGTAGGTGGGATGCTGGCTTTCGTTTCCCCCGTTCTCAGGTTATCTTAGTTTCGAATCGGGGAAATCGGAGTTTGGCCGGGAATCTTCATCTTCTATTGCAAATGGTATGAGAGAGTTGGACAAAGGTTGGGTTTTGGCCCAAGTGCACTCAGCTTCTTTCGCTGTACGGCTGTACTGTCTGCACTTAGGTTGTCCATTTGCTCTTGGATAGCTCTTGGATAGCTCAAGGAATGTTCAAAGTCACAACAAACCATCACCCACATGCTCAACCCAGCGGGTACAAACATTGTACAAATGGCGATTGGCTCAGAACATTTGAGAAACATGTGCCAAGAAGCCAGTTGATGGCAGGAGCTGCCAATCCGGTGGCAAAAAGGCATACTACCCCAAGTTTGCTGATGGCAAGTGCAGCAGAAGATGACAGTGTGACATCTAATCCGCAATGCAGCATTAATTCATTTGTGATCCATATTGAATAATATTACCTTGCATTTAATAATGCTGTTTAGGTGTATGAAAAAAGTATATATTATATATCATGTGTAAAAACATATTCTTAAAGATTATTTACCAACACTGATGGATATTTTGGGGTTTGCGGCACGTCTCTGCGCACATGACTTTGCTCCAAAGCCATGCCCCTCGCAGCCTCAGGAGGTGTGGTTCAACACATTCCCCCCATCCTTTGCAACTGGCCATAGCTGTACCAGGCTAACACATTCAGGTCTACGGTCTCTTTGTTGTACCGCAATTCAATATATGACACACAACGCAGACACACATGTTCGGATGATATTATTGTGTAAGTACATGATTAATGAATATTAAATATATTAATTAGACATACTATATATATATATATATTATATCAATCTATATTACTAGTAATGTATATGATATATCTATTCTAAATATGCATTTCTGTGTTTGTGCTTCTGACTACGTATCTACACAACATATTTGTAGTTTATATATTTATTTGTTTATTTACTTATTTGTGTATTTGCTTATTTAAATAGTTAGTTAGTCGTAAATATGTACGGTATAATATATATATATATACATAGTGTGCGTGTGTGTGTGTGTGCATACGTGTTTGTGCGGTATACGTATGACCAGAGGGGGTTCTTTGAGCAGAGCCTGTTGCGACTTCCATTTCATGCAATCGTCGTTTGAGTGGCGGTCAAAGAAATTCAAAAGTCCAAAAGGAATGCCCATTAATGCCACGGACCATGTCAAAGGGATTAAAGAAAGGGATCAGCTTTGCTTGAGGCCCAAAGGTGACACATTTTCCTGCAAAGCAGAGGATGACACCGAGCGTGGCAGTCCTTTGGTCCAGACTTGCGGGATATATAGATAGAAAAGTGTGCAGTCTTGAGTCTCAATCTTATTAAGGTATGATGACTTGACCTTGGATTGTCAAACACAGCCTGTGAATCCTCGTGAGTCCTACTCTGCGGAATTGACACTGTTGACAGTGGACGTGCCCAGGTAAGGACTTGGCGATCCAAGAGGCACGAGGGTGAAGGTAACCCAGTGACGTCCAGTGACCTGGTAGGCTTCATGACTCCATCGCTGTAATAAGGCCAGATCTATGGTTGCCAGCTGTTCAGCTGCAGGTCCGTCCTGGATTTGTACCATCGTTGAAGCCGGTGCAGGACTTAAGCAACTCCAGGGCTCTGAGATTTTAAGGTTCCTTCTGAACCGCCAGATGAGTGCCAGATGTATGGGGGTGCCCATCCTTTGAAGTCCAGGATCGATGGTGGTAGATCCCTGTTTGCCCTTCAAAGGGACCCAGAATGGAAATGGCTACAACAAGCGGAAAGTAGCGGAAACATGCGGAAACATATTTGCAAGGGTGCTACCGAGACTTTGCTGCTCAGTTACCATTGGAGCGGAACACCCTTCATGTGACGAGTCGCATGGGTCTTGCCGGGCGGCTTGTCTGAATATAGTGTTTGTCCAACGTGTGTTCAAAACAGCCGGATCAGATCGCGCGCATTCCATCTCAGACACTGTTATAATTACCCAATGCATTTGAAGTTGGACGGCCATAAAGGCAGTGTGATTTGAATGGTGAAGCTACTCAGACAATTCCATTTTCTTCAGTCAAGATGACCTTCTAGCAGGCCAGGAGTCAAAGGAATCACAACAAGGTCCACCATTTCGCATTGAACCCCAAGGTTCATCCCTGGCGCAGCTGTTCATATAGTGGCATCCTGGCTGGGAAAATGCGGTGATCAGTGATAGATTGATAGAATGATGGAATTGAATAGTGATATGGAGGATGCATTGAGCTGAATGGGAACCAAGCTGACACCTGTCTTCGAAGATCCTGAGAACATAAAATAATGACAAAAATGTACAAAAATGGCATATGGTTTTTTGAATGACATATGTCAGGTTTACTGAATGCAAGGTGGTTCGGCAGTCAGCTTGCAAGATCTTGCATGGTTTTCCCCTTCCACACATGGAAGAATATTGTCGTACCAATTCCAACCAGCTTCTGCCATCAGGCAACGATGGCTGGTCTGGTTCCTTTCACCATGGGTTATACAGTGGGCAAGTCGGTGCCTGAATTTTGCCTTCATGGTAGCTTTTCCACACTGAAAGCACGACGTGAGCCGATGCACCCTTATTAATTTATACATTAATTAAGTATTATTATTGGACATTATTGCACAGTTTATCCATTTGATACACCCCAAATTCAAGATTTATATACACGCGCAAGCAGACAGATATGTATGCACATGACCCTGGTTACCACTACACTGCAGCGTAGCAGTTCCAAAAAATATGCATCTACGAAACACATAGAAGCACCTAGGTTATGGAGCCTGGCAGGGTGCAAGCTCGCTGACTCCCCAAGCTTTAAGGAGCTACTGTTTGCTGCTGCAGATTCTCGATATCGTTGGAAAACAAAAAAGCCAATCTTTACAGACGTGCGCTGACCACAGATCGAAGTTAACCATCCTGCAGGCTGGGTGCTATAGACGCTTTCCTGCATAGGTGGTCTCAAGGAGACATTTCAAAGTGATTAGTTACTACAGGTGGTCAAGGGAATCCTGACTTAGTTATGTCAAGGGTTTCTTCTACTGTACAGGGTAATGTTTGTCCCAGTCGGAGTTGCTGTGTGCTTTCAATCACCTTCCGTCTCTCAGTCCGTCCTTCCAAATTGAGAGTCCGATTGCCTCATCGCACCGGAGATGAGAAACAGCAGGGCACAAGAAAGGCAAAAAACGTCAAGAGATGTGTTTGGGGGCCTTTCTCCGCAGAAAAGGTGGTGAATTCATTCATTACTGCTGTAAACATTTAAGCTGCGTCATTGGATGGTCATGGATGCTCGTTGGCCGGGTTTGTTTGTGCCAAGGCCTCCTCTTTGCCAATGGCATTTTCCCCACGGTGCCCCGGCCACAATTTCGGAATTCGAATCACAGGGGTTGATGGAGGATGACACAGGCATCTTCCCCTTGGAGTTTGTTGCCGCCATTTTGGGGCGAAGAGCGACAATCAGAAACAAGATAAATAAAATATGCAGTTGTATGGAATGAAGTAGTTCCAACTCTGAGATTGATGTTGGTGCCTGTTCGTCGGGAACTTCTTATTCACATGGCGCAGTCAGTGGTCCTGGACAGGTGCTTTATGACAAAAACGGTCAGTTGGTGCCGCTGATTGATGTAGATGATCGAGAGACTCTGCTGAGGCAGCTGCAGATGGCTGACTTTCCGGGTGTTCAGAGTTCCATCCAGTATCCTTTCACATGTCGTCATGTCGGCTCAATTGGAGAAAGGGTTGCAGTACAGGCATGTCCAAGTTTGTTTGGTTGTGCTGGAAGGTCAACTCCATTTATGGTGGCAAACCATATCAGCTACCTCGATGCTTCTTGTCCAAGAACATTCGCATGTCTCAGACTGGTTTGGTCCATGTGTGCAGGGCAAGAACTTGGACAGACAACAAATTTAAACCAAGTCTTGTCTTGGCGGCCAAATCTTCCCGACGCTCAGATGATCCCATCCCACGGGGAAAGGTCTTGGGATGCTTTTGAGGCACTTGTTCTACCTTTAGCACTGCAAATGCCTAAGTTCATGTCCATGGTGTGTCCGACCTGATTTGGGTTGCCAACTCGGCCGAACTGCAAGTCGGCTGCTGCGTTCAACATTCTAACATTGCTTTTCCGCTCTTTGACTCTTTGTCATGAAACGCACCTCCTCACTGGGGTTTTTAAGCTTCGAGTCCATCCAACCAGCTACCCAACATTTCAGGCACTAGTTGCAAGATCACCTGCCAGGCGAGTGTGCGGAACTATCCACTCTTTGGAACTTTGGGTGAAGACTTAGACTTCGTTTGGGCTTGGAACTCAGCATTTGGAGCTTGTTTGCAAAGTCTTGCTGCGTTGCCGTCTTTGTGAAAGTGACCCGTCCCCGCGAACCTCATGCCACGGTCGTTGCAGGTGAACCGCGGCTCCAAGGGTTCCCGTAGCGAGGCGGTACAGGCCATTGATGCCCACGTCACTTGGCCGGGAAGTTGACACAACCGCTAAGAGGGCCACGGCAGTGGTAACGCTGCGTAGCTGCTTTTCATTTTTTCATACCATTGGTCTTTGGACATCTTTGGACGCCTTTTATACTTTAATCGAGACACTTCCCATATCTTCCCATCATTTCTGGTGTGCTCTATCAAAATTCCCTTTACATGGCTGATCATAGGTAATTACTCGCGTTTGTAGTGTGATAGTGTACTATGCAATATTTGATCATATCCCCATGGTCCATCACGGTCCCATTTTGGGCAACAAATTTTGCCCATTGACCTGCCAGTATTTTCTTCGACGGTCCATCCCCTTTACCTGAGTAATCTCTGTTTCTCCTGTTGAACAATTTGCTTTAGCTATTGAAATTCAGAGACCAAATGCGGACGGATGTTGCATTTGAGGTAGGCAACACCTTTTCCTCACCACACAGTGCCCACAGCCCTGTGATCACCTGTTGCTTTCCCTTGAAACATGGACCACCTACCATAAGAGGTGCGGATTCCATGGATGTGCGGCACGATTCCCACGATTCCGCCCAAGGTCCAGGCCTGGAAACCTGGAGAGCGACCCTTGGTGATTTTCCCGGAGGTCGATTGGGACGGCCCACGAGGATTCATTTTTGGGCTGGGTTTTTCCATGTTTTTCCTTGCAGTAGCATGCCTAATACATAATAGACATGTTGCCATCACCGAGTAGGAAAGCGCTCGTATTCTGGAGCCTCCAGCCAGCTTCAGGGCACAACTTCCAATGGAACATCGCTGCTGGATTTCAAGCAAGGTGGGGTTGCTCAGGTTTCAGCAGCTTTCACCAAATGGCTTCAACTTCCGTTTTTGATCAATGTCCTTGGCAAATCCTTTTGCAGCATCAAAGGGCCCCAGCACAGTGCGGAGAAACAACAGCTTGAGAGGGCTCAGCGGCTTCAGAACCCTTTGGCATTCCAAATCTTGTGGACCCAGGTGCATTTATGTCAGGGGCGCCAGTGTGACTTGGCAGCGCTTAATCCAACTACGCCCAGCACGTTTATTTGTGGATGTGGAGCGCTTGAGCATGCGGCACTTCTTTAAGACCTGCCGTTTGACCTGTCGTCAGGCGACCGGTTCTGCTCAAGTGCCTTGGCTGCCTTGTTACTGCTGCAGTCCTTCAGTCGAACCGGGCCTAACGGGGCCTAACATGGCCTAACCACTTCCGTGGGCAAACTTCTGCCACATGGCACTCATGGCGCTTGCTAAATTGCCATTGTGGAATTTATGTTGGTGCGATGTTTGGCTTTGAACCCCAGAATGACACATTGATTTGCTGGAGGCCTTGAAGCTTTCCACATCCATCCACATCCAGTGACAAAGTCTTTCATGATTTTGAGATTAGCTGTGAGGTGAGCTGTCACTAATACAGAGTGATGTATGTCACTTTGCGGAAGTGGTGCCGGGCAAGGGTTCCTCCCCAACACTTTGCCTCATCCACAGCAGTTCAGGCATACTGGTTCCTGGGACCCCGCTGTGACTGCTGCTCGTATGAGAAGATTGGGGGCCAACATGACAAGCGTCTTGCAACCTGAAGTATTATCTTCGCTTGGATTTGAAGGCTAGGAGGTGTGGTGAAGGTGTCAAAGATACGAAACATTGTCGGACATCCCTCAACAATCCGCTCACCTACGATGACGATGTATAATTTTCTTTCGATATGCTCCACATACCAAAGCTGGCCACAAAAGCAGAGTAGTGTGAAAGCAGAGTCGTAGCGTGCCAGGCCATACTGGGTCCGACCCAGTGTTTAACTTGACTGGTCGCCACCAAGTGAATCATGCTTGACTTCTTCCAAGGATTATTTGATGACAGAAGATGCGTGATTCTCAATGCCGTGAGATACCAGCGGTCACACTAAACAATTCTTGCATTTTTAAGTGCGGGCTTGACGAGCCGGTCAAACACGAAAACATGTACCACCTGAAGCTGTTTGTTTCCTCTTGGGAAGAGAGAGAGAGAGAGGGAGCGAGAGAGAGAGAGTGGGTGAGTCATAAATAAAGCAGTTCACGCCCGTCGACGAACCTGATTCTCAGGGGGCGCGGGTCTTATACAGCGATGGTGAATGGGTATCTTGTCAGCAACCGCGTGCTGATTTTGGCCTGCTTCTGCTGACTTTTTACACGAAGAACATGTCGATCTTGTGGAGGAAGTGGCTTTGGAGGAAGTGTGCGCTGCAAGATGCAACTTCATGCGCCATGCGTGCAATGTACGAACATATCATCACTTTTGAAACCAGCCGACTCCCTGCGTAGCAGCGATCAACGATCCAACCAAGGCAATGAATTTTTGGGCAAACCTTCTGCATAGCTGTACAGTCCTGGTTTGCGAGTGCATTTGCCCAGTCTGACACGCTGTGCTTGGAGGGACAGATGACTGCATCACTGTGAGGAGGAATGCTATTCTTCGCTCTCACCACCTCAAAGTGAACTGATCCTCTCATTTCTTGTAAGTTTTGTCCCAGGAACCACGTTTTTGGTGTTTACTTGTATGGAGGTAAATGCAGGCGTAATAGATTGTAACACCCCGCAACACTCAAGGTCATGGGCGTCATGGGAAAGTGGAACAGGATGGCACAGTTATTGTGACTCACTTCCTGCCGGTGCCAGGCATTACATACCATCAGCAGAAGAGAAGGCCCCGGGGCCCCAGGGTTAGGTGCTGCAGCATGCTGGATGTTGTAGTCCTTTATCATTTTTTCTACGAAATACGGATTGTGCAATTACAGGTTAATTACGAGACATGTAACCGTCTTCATTCTACAGTCCTCAGCGTGTTTAAAACATCTTAAAACTATAAATGACATTTTGTTCGAGCATTTTGAGTCCTTTCGGAAACTTGTCAAGCCTTTTCATTGTGACGGCATTGCTTCCTTGAAGGCCCAATTGACATTATCAGTTGACAAAGCGTGTGGTCCCCTTGGCTGGCAAAGGCTGATGCCAGTCTTTACGCCAAAAACGTGCGGCAATACATGTTGGAGAAGCATCGAGAGCTAGAGTTTCTTGCCTCTTTTGAGCCGCCAGATGGTAGAGGCCAGAATTGGCTACCCCTGATTCAGAAGATTCCAAAGGCCCTTCCAGTGGGCCATCCATGGTGGAAAATCTATCGGTGTGGCCAGAAGCAATCCATCACTCACACACCATCGTTTTTCGCTTTCTGAGGTTGGTGTGTAAAACTTCCCGCGACCAGGTGGATACTGTTCTGCGGGAGTGGTTGGGGCCCTGGCCAGGGATGCTGGCAGAGTCATCTAATGATCTGAGGCATTGATCAGCATGGATTTGTGATGAGCTGCTCGCTGTCATGCACTGGCTGCATTGGCCTCTCAGGCGACAACGTCTGCAGCTCCAAAGGCGCTTCGTTGCGGAGGCTCTGGATGCTCCGAAGACACGCCTCAGGTGCCGCGGGCAGCGGCATTCACATCGTGTCACGCATATTTGAGGGAGCAAATTCGGTCCCTATATAGATAAGGAGGTGCCCTTTTTCCCGAGACATTGGTCACTTTCTCATTCACCGTGCAGGGCTAAGAAAGGAGAAGATCGGAGAGCATAGTCAAATACTACTGTATCAGGAAGAACAAGACCAGACAATTTATGCAATGTTTAATTTGTATTAATGTTGGATCCTGATTAGTGTTTTGGGCCCCCTAAACAATTTTTGGATCCTCTTTATATAATGTGTTTTTTATTTTTTTTTTTAAAGTAACGGAGTCTGAATAAGATTTTAGCAATTGATTTTGATAGATTTCAATTTACTCTCAATTTACTTTCAATTGATTTCAATTTACTTTCAATAGGTTTAATTTTATTTTCATTTTACGTCCAATTAATTTTCAATTGATTTCAATTTACTTTCAATAGGTTTAATTTTATTTTCATTTTACGTCCAATTAATTTTCAGTTGATTTCAACTTACTTTCAATTGATGTTCAATTGATTTCAATTTACGTTCAATTGATTTTCAATTGATGTCAACTTACTTTCAATTGATTTCAATTTAGTTGGAATTTATGTTCAATTGATTTCAACTTACTTTCAATTCACATCCCATAGTAATCCCATAGAAATATCATAGAAATACCATGGAAATCCCATAGGAATCCCACAGAAATCCCATAGAAAGATCATAGATATAACATGTCCCAAAAAAAACATGGAAATAGCATAGGAACCACAAAGAAATCCCATAAGAATCCCATAGAATTCCCTCAGACATAGTATCCCATGGAAATATCATAGAAACATCATGGAACTCCCATGGGAATGCCATAGAAATCTCACAGGAATCCCGAAGAAATCCCATAGAAACACCATAGAAATACCATAGGAATCCCATAGGAACCCAATGGAAATCCCATAAGAATACCATAGAATTCCCATAGCACCCCTTCAGAAATCACATAGGAATCCCATAGAAATCCAATAGTAATACCATAGAAATATCATAGAAATCCAATAGAAATATCATGCAAATCCCATAGAAATCCCATAGAAAAATCATAGAAATACCATAGAGGTCCTGTAGAAATCTGATCGAAGTCCAATGGAAATCCCATAGACACCCCTTTGAAGTCCCAGAGAAATTCCAAAGAAATACGATCGACGCCCCGTAGAAATCCCATAGAAATACCATGGAAACCCTACAGGAATCCAATAGAAGTCCCATAAAAACATCATAGAGCCACCATAGAAATTCCAAAGAAACTTCATGGAAATCCCATAGAATTCCCTTGGGTTTTAATAAGGCATCATATATATTATATATTATATATATATCTCTCTCTCTTATATCTATATAGATATATATTTGGGAAATTCGACATTTCTGAAAAAAATCCAACAGAATGAAACCAAGAAAGTAAAAGAAAAAATGCTTTAGCAAAGGAAAAGGTAAAAGAAATGTCTGAAAATGTTCACCTCAGACAACAGCTGGGCACAATAGAGGACCACCACAACAAGCATACTATTGAGGATCAAGGTTGCTCATGGGCTACCCGCTTGAAAAATTGTTTGGCTGCTGTTTTTTGGTTTTAATAAGGCATCCTATATTTTGGGAAATTGGGCATTTCTGAGAATTCCAAAAGAATGAAACCAAGAAAGTAAAAGAAAAAAGCTTTAGCAAAGGAAAAGGTAAAAGGCATGTTTGAAAATTTTCACCTCAGACAACAGCTTGACACAATAGAGGGCCATCACAACGAACATACTATTGAGGATCAGGGGTGCTCATGGACTACCCCATTGAAAAATTGTTTGATAGCTGTTTGTTTATTGGGTTTTAATAAGGCATCCTATATTTTGGGAAATTGGGCATTTTGAGAATTCCAAAGAATGGAGCTAAGAAAGTAGTTTAAAAAGAGAAAAGTATTAGCAAAGGAAAGGAAAAGGAAAGGAGAGAATGACCTTGGACAGTTTTCACTTCAAAAAAAAGCTTGACACAATAGAGGACCACCACAACAAACATACTATTTAGGATCAGGGTTGCTCATGGACTACTACCTTGAAAAATTGTTTGAGTGCTGTTTTCAATTGGGTTTTAATAAGGCATCCTATATTTTGGGAAATTGGAATTTTTGAGAATTCCAAGAGAATGGAGCTAAGAAAGTAATTAAAAAAGAGACAAGTATTAGCAAAGGAAAGGGAAAGGAAAGAAGAAAAGGACTTTGGAAAATGTTCACTTCAAAAAAAAGCTTGACACAATAGAGGACCCCCACAACAAACGTACTATTGAAGATCAATCTTGCTGATGGGTCACAGCCTTAAAAAGTTGTTTCTTCAGACAACAGCTGGACACAATAGAGGATCACCACAACAAACATACTACAACTATTCTGTGTGTTCAAAAACATGTTGCAAGTATTCATTAAATAATTAATTGATTAATTCAATTTAGTAAAATGAACAAATGCAAGAGTGAAAAAAAACTGAACAAAAAAAATAGGCCTCAGAAAAAAATTACACAATACCGACACACCCAATCATTTACACAGATCCTGAATTATTTTGGAAAAACTTGACACAATACCGACCCATTGCACTAATCAAGATCCAACATTCATTTGTTTGTTGCCTCATGATGTGGGCCGATTTTGTAATGCAACCCCCCTGCGTTTTTTGAAAGTCACTGGGGGAGTTGGAAATGTTGAAGTCATGAATCTGGTTCTGATAGAGACAGTGTATCGAATAGGACATCTTGAAATTGGTTCGTCATTCAGTACATGTATCATGTATTATCACAAAAATATAAGTCATGATGGATTTGCATATGTACTGGTATCTTAAATTTG